GGCCCCCTAGTGGACGCCCCTCCCCCCAGGAAGTGCGGCTGAAGCCGGGTTAATGCATGATCGGGAAGCGACGTGACGCGACTTCCAAGGGGCTCTCGGCGGCGCCCTGGCCACGGGGGTAGGTGGGGAGCCGGAGCCCGCGCCACGCGCCCCCCACCCCGAGGCAGCCGACCCAGCTCGCGGCCCGGCACCGCAGCCGCCGGCGCGGAGTTGGCCTCAGCCGGTGCGGGCCGTGACTGGCCTGAGCGGAGCGCCGGCCCGCCCACCTCCCGCTGGGCCGGCCGGACCAGTGAGGCAGCAGAGCGCCCCCTGCTGTCCTGCGGCGCTGGCTCGGGCCAGCCCGCAGCTAGCCACGCCCCCTCCCGCTTCGGGGCTGCTTTAGCTCGGGAGACTCGGCACATCCAGTGGGCACCCTGAGGCCCGCGGGGTCCAAGCTAGAGCCTGGCCTGTGGGAAGATGGAGGCAGAAGGAAAGGCACCACTCTGTCTTCACTAGGACTGCATCTGCCGTGCACCAGTTACAGGTCTCAGTCAGAAGCAATGAGGAGTGGGCGGCCGAAGCTCGCTGGAGGGCTTCTCCCCAATTTGGCCCGGGCTTCGAGGGAGGGACACCGAGGGTCTGCGCTCATCCTGGCTGTGCTACAGCATGGGGGGCGGGGCAGCCACCTTCACGCCCAGTGTCGACGCAGCGGCCACTCGCACAGCTGGACCTAGGAGTGCCCCGGGCCAGACAGGCACCCACACACACTGGAAAGGGCTTGTGGGTCCCCAGCCAAATTCTGCCGAGGGCGAGGTCTCGGGAAGAGATTTGCATATTCTGTGGGATCCGCCGGTGCTGTCCGGGGTCCGGCTGTCAGCCTGGCTCCTGCCAGACGACCTGGGTGGCTACATATAGAAAGAAAAGAGAGAAGGAACTATCTCAAGGGGAAGGAGATGAAGCATGTTCCAAATTGGGTACCCCCATCTGGGACTTGGTGTCCTTCGTGAACTGACAAGCTCCCAGTTCCAAGTGCCCCCTACCGGCTGACTACGGCCTCTCCATTAGGCAGAGCCCTGAGGGGGGCCCTTCCGCTATTGGCCACCCATCCTCTGTTCAGGAGCTCAGCCCGAGCCCCTGTGCCCCTCTCTGGACAGCACAGGCAGAGAGCGAGCCGGCAGGCCCCAGCCCCGGCGGTGTGGGAAAGACCTACCCACCACCGGGTCCAGGGGCTCCGGGGAGGGGCTCCCCTCGCTGGAGCCTCACCTGTGTCCCTAAGTATGCTGAGCCTCGGATGGGGAGTGGGCAGCTGTGGAGGGACTGCCTGTGGCTCAGCCTGCCCACGAGGGGCCCCAGCAGATGTGTCCTTTTCTTTTTGTAGAAGTGAATTCCCCCGAGCATGGAAGCAGGTCTTGCTTCAGTTTCTGGGAGGAAAAGATGTCACTGGTCTCTGACTGGGATGCCCTTGTCACTGAACTTGGCCACTGAAGCCTGGTCACCTGGGTGGACCTGGGTTCCCTCCCCAACCTCCTCAGCAGGAGTATGGAGATGAGGTGGTGGTGGAATGGAGCAGACCAGACAGTGTTTTCTCTGCATCCATCTTTATTTCCAAAGCTTGATTCCAGCAGGGGGCCCTCTGCACTGCTCTCAGGGCCTTGCCCTGCCCCCTCGAAGGCGCAGATTCATGAACACAGTACACTGGGACTTGAGGCCATAGTCGCCCAGCATGTGCTCGTCCTCCATAGACCTCCCCTGGAAGCTCAGGTAGAACATGTCTTCCCGTGCCCCCTCTTGCTGGCACACCTGCTTCTTCAGCGCTGCCACCGTCTGTGTCAGCTGGACCTCATACAAACGGCTGCGCCCCTTGTCGTTCCTCACCAGGATGCTGAAGGGGTTTTCACAGTCCTCCACCAACAGCCAGACCGTGCTGCCAGGGGCCAAGCCCTGTTGGGTGAGGGTGAACCTGTCCTCCAGCACCTTGTTACTCGGCTGGACAGCTAGGCGCTGCTGGAAGGCAGGCACCCCGGCCTTCTTGGCGATCTCCCTCTTCAGTTCCTGCACTGTCATGGAGGAGTTCAGGGACACCAGGAACTCCTGGCCCCCCAACATCTTCACTGTCAGGTCCCAGCCCTGTGGGTGTCACATGGGCTTAGAGACTCATTCAGCACAAGCCGAGAGTGAGCTCCTAAGCCCTGGGATGCAGCTGCCTGCCATCTGCCTTCTCCACCCATCAGGAGGAAAGGGCATAGAAGTGGTCCTTTCTAGAAGAAGGGCCAGCCTCCCTTCACCCAGATACCCCCAGCCCTACCCCGGGGGATCCAGGGATGCCCACAGAGCAGGATTGGAGCCACATCCTTCCCCTCACAATGGGGATCCGGCCAAACTCTGCACAGCTCTACCTCTGGGAAATCCCAAGGGGAGGGCTTCCTCCTCCCACCTGTCAAGTCTGCCTTACCATGGTTGTGGGCGCTAATGCCAGGTACTTCGCAGGCACTGACAAGTGAGTTCTTTACTCAGCTCCCAGCTGCTCTTTGCTGCTGGATCAGGCTCAGCCCCTTTATGAGCCCTGGCTGTGCACGTCATGGGGCGGTGTCTCCAGCAGCCTGCACCAGTGGCCAGTTGCCTTCGGTTTCAGTTTCCTTTTCCCAAGGCATGGCCTCAAGTGAATGCAAGAAACAAAACAGAACCACACATTGGTAAGGAAGCACAGAGTGGGAGAGCCCAGGCTATCAGGGTGTGTATTTGGAAAGCCCCTAAATTATCCAGTACTGCAGGTTCTTTACAAGTTGCTCAAGAGCCGTAATAACATGAACTGATTATTGAAAACTTCCATTTTCCACTTACCAGTTTCCAAGTTAGTTAAGTTTGGGGTTGGGGATATAGCTCAGAGGTAGAGCTCTTGACCAGTAAACTAATTAACTTGGGAAATGTACCATGATTAACTCAGAAACAATATAAAATAGTGACAGACAAAACCACCCAGAGGTGACTACCATTACTTTAGGATAATATCTGTTTAGATTTTTTTTAAATGAAAGAAATGTACCTTTTTTTCTATAAAAAAAAATGTATGGACACCATCAAGACAGTGAAAATGGGCTGGGGATTTAGCTCAGTGGTTTTGCTGCCTGCTACACAAGTGCAAGGACCCGAGTTCGATCCCTGGTACCAAAAAAAAAGACAGTGAAAAGGTCAAGTCACAGAACAGGAGAAAATATTTCTGAATTCTCTATCTCATAAGGGTCTAATATTCAGCATAAAGAACTGTCACTACCCAACAACAGGAAGATAAACAGTTTAATCTACAATGAGCAAAAAGGACTGGGGATGTAACTCAGTGGTAGAGACCTAGCCTAGCATAGCATGCTTGAGGTCTCTGGGTCAAATTCCCATCACCTACGAAAAAGGCAAAAGTTTGAATAGGTGTTCTTCTAAGTAGATATACAAACGGCCAACAAACGTGAAAAGATGCACAACATCATTAGTCATTAGGAAAATGCAAATCGAATCACAGGATGAGATACTGTTTCACACTAGCATGACAATGATAATAGTAATAAATAACAAATATTGATGAGGATGTGGAGAAACTGATATTCTAGTACTTTGCTGTTGAGATGGAAAATAGTATAGCCACTATGGGAAACAGTCTAGTTATTCTTCAAAAAGTTAAACATAGAATTATCATATGATCCAGCTATTTCACTCCTGGGTATATACCCCAAAGAACTGAAAAACAGCATTCAAATACTTGTATATAAATGTTCATAGGAGCAGGACTTACACTAGACAAAAAGTCGAAACTACCCAAATATCAGCAGATGAGTAAGTAAACAAAATGTGGTTGATCATATGATGGAATATCCAGACACAAAAAGGAATGAAGTAGTGACATGCATTACACCTTGAATGAACTTTGAAATCATTATGCTGCAGGAAGAAACTCAAACTCCAAAGGCCAAATGTTGTAAGACAGTCTATATAAGGTGTCCAGAACAGAGTTGTGCTGGTTCTGTCCTGAGTGTCCACCAGACATCCCTGTGGTGCTACTGGGAGGTGCTGGAGCCTTTAGGACGTGGGGGCTAGTGGGAAGAAGTTAGGTTCCTGGGGTGCCCTTGTGGGTGATACTGGGAGGAGAGCAGTCTCCTCCACCATGGCTCCCCCAGGCAACAGAGCCAAGCGACCATGGACTGGTCTGAAGTTCTGAGCTGAAGTAAACCTTTCCTCCGTGAGTGTGTGTGTGTGTGTGTGTGTGTGTGTGTGTTACAGGAGATTGAACCTTCGTATTGAGCTACATTCCCAGCTCTTTTTCATTTTTTGTTTTAGGACAAGGTCTTGCTAAGTCAGTAAGTTGCCCAGGCTAAGCTAGAACTTTCAATCCTCCTGCCTCAGCTCAACTTTCTGGAGTGCTGGCATGACAGGTGTGTACCACCATGCCTGATTCTTTCCTCCTTTTCAGTGGATTCTCTCAAGTATTTTGTCACAGTAAAGCTGACTTAATACAAGGGAGATCCATAAAAACCACAGATGCCAGAGGCTAGGAGAAGGGGGAATGAGAAATAACTGTCAAATGAATTTAAGGCCTCCTTTGAAAGTGATGATGTTTGGAAACTAGATAGAGGTGATGACTGGAGAACACTGCAGTATACTAAGTGGCCAGGTATGGTAGCACACGCCTGCAATGTCAGCTACTTAGGAGGCTGAGGGAAAGTTTGGGGCCAGTCCGGGCAACTTAGTGAGAGGCCTTGTCTCAAAATGAAAATTAAGGGCTGAGGATTTAGCTCAGTGGTGCTGATGCCTGCCTCACAAGCACAAGATCCTGAGTTCGATCCATGGTACCAAATTTTAAAAAAAAGGAAATTTAAAAAGGGTTGGGAATGTAGCTTAATGTTTATTTTATTTTATTTTTTTTTGGTACTGGGGATCGAACTCGTGACCTTGTGCTTGCAAGGCAGGCATGGTGCCACTGAGCAAAATCCCTGGCCCAAATGTAGCTTAATGTAAAGTGCTTGCCTAGGATATATCAGGCCCTGGGTTCCATCCCCAGCACACACACATATGTTATACTAGGAGTGACTGGAAAGTACTGTGTATCTTAAAATTTTATTACAGTAAAAGACACATTGTCATTAATTTCCCTCAGAATACTCCCTCTCCTTTGAGCGCTGCTCCCATCATTCTTGCCACATTCTGAAGCAGTTCTGGAAGTCCTCTTTCATTACAAGTGCTATTGAAAAGTACAGTGAACGCTGCTGCCAGGTGCCATCCAGTGCAAAGCCTGATGCATCTTTTATTGCAATAAATGTTTTAAAGTGTAAACTTCGGACTGGGGATTTAGCTCAGTGGTTCCGGCCCCTGCCTTGAAAGCACAAGGTCCCGAGTTCGATCCCTGATACCAAAAACAAAACAAAACTGTACAGTGTAAACTTCACCATATTTTTAGATCACACCTCATGCATATATATACTATACTATAGTTAGTATATTTATATTTGTAAATTTAGTATATATATCATATAGTATATGTACATTTAGTATTTATTTATATATTCTTTCTTGTTTGTTTTGAAACAGGGTCTGTCTATGTAGTCCAAGGCTGGCCTTGAACTCACTATGTAGCCCAGACTGGCCTCAAACTTGAGGCAATCTTCCTGCCTCAGCTTCCCAAGTGCTGGGATTACAGGTGTGCCCCATCATGCCCATCAAGTATTTATTTATATATTCTATATACAGTATATATATTTATATATCTATTTAGTGTATATATGTATATATACTAAGTACCACTGCGTTACATACTTTAAAATGGTTACTTTTATTTTATATGAATTCCACCTCAAAAAAACAACTTCATGCTTCTCACCATCTTGTAACATGGTTCATTCCCATAACAGTGTACCATAAACATCTGTGCTGATAGAAACATGCAAGCTGCTTTGATAGCTGCACATGTTGCCCATGGAATTATAAGTCTATTATAGTAAAGTGTGATTTAGGTAACTGATCCCATACTGTTGAATATTTAGATTATTGGTAAAGTTCTGCTATTACAAACAGCATAAAGTAGGTGAAGTTAGCTAAAAAAACCAAATAATAAATAAATGTTTAAGTAAAAGTTTAAAAAGTTAATATTTTACACTTGATCTTAGCCAAAAGGCCAAGAAGCGATAAAAAAGTAAGTATTTTAAATAAAAAGCAAAAAAGTAGAGAAACAAAATTTTGTAAATATGAATTCTGACCGTACTTCCTTAAAAAAAAATCTCATAAGGCACCAAAAAATTAATATGTAAAAAACAAGAGAGTTAAAATTTCTTTCTTTTTGTTATTTTAAGTTTGTACCATGACTTCTTGCATAAGTAATATTAGTATTGTAAAAAGAAAAACGCAAACAAATATTAAAAAAAAGAATAGGGCCAGGGATGTGGCTGAGTTGTAGAACGCTTGCCTACCATGCACAATGCCCTGGGCATGTTCCCAAGCACTGCAAAAGGGAAAAATAGGGGGACAAGGAGGAGGGAGGGAATGGAAAAGGGATTTAAAAAAAGAACAGAAGGAAACAATGGAAACAAAACTTTTGTGAATGGGAAGGGGGAGAAGGGTTGAAGGGAGGGGAGAGGAATGAGGGAAAAAAAAAGAATTAAGATATATTATATACAAAAGCCAGGTATTTAGCTCCATGGTGCCACTGCCTGCCTCATAAGTATAAGGTCCTGAGTTCAATCCCCAGTACCAAGAAAAAAGATATATTATGTACAGGTGCAAATTCCCCATGATGAATGTGATCATTATATGCAGCAAACATGTACCAATAAACTATGAAAAATAATAAATAAAATACAAATTTAAAAAATGTAGAATGTGAATAGCTTCCATGCTCCCCGCTATGACAGCAATCAGCATGGTACACGTCTTCCGATTCCTCCTTGTTCACATGTGGTACTGAAGTCATTTTCTTTTAGGAACTTCATCCCAACTCTAGCAGACCAAAAAATGCAAATCCATCAAGGCAGCAAACTGGTCACCTGTCTTAATTTCCTGCGGTGCTAGAGTGGAGTACCACAGATGGTATGGCTTCTAAGGGCAGGAATTTGAGGGCCAGGGATGTAGCTCAGCAGTACAGTGCTTGCCTGGCAATGCCCAGTTAGATTTCTGGTACAAAAAACCACAATGGGGCCAGGGATATAGCTCAGTGGTGCATGCAGCACAAGGCCCTGAGTTTGATTCCCGGTACCAAAAAAAAGAGATCAGGAATTTGATTTGCTCTCTCACCATTCTTCAGTTTGAAAGTCTAATATCCAGGTGGACTGAATGACTAGGACTGCGAAGCTGGTTATAAAAAAATAGAGAGAGAGAGAGCGAGCAGGTGTGAGCTCCGCAAGGTGACACACACTTGTAATCCCAGCACTTAGGAAGCTGAGTCAGGAGGGTCACTAGCAGTTCGAGGCCAGCCTGGACTAGAGTGAGGCCCTGTCTCCAAAAATAAATAAAAAAGAAAGAAAGTAAACAAATAGAAAGAAATATACTACTCAGATATTCAGTAGAAGTAAGCAATTGTGGCCATATTGACAATTTTGTTAAATAAACAGGGCTGAGGATATAGCTCAGCAATAGAGCACTTACCTAGTGCCCTCAAGGCCCTGGGTTCAATTCCTAGCCACACACATACATACATACACAGACCACCCTAGATATTAACAGTGAAGTCTGAGACAAGCATTACTAGAAGTACAGAAGGTCACATAGCAATAAAAGGTTTTCATCTGGGTGTGGTGGCACACAGCTGTGACTCCAGCACTCTGGGAGGCTGAGGCAGGAAAGTCAAAAGTTTGAGCCCAGCCTGAGCAACTTAGCAACCCTGTCTTAAAATAGAAAAAAGGGGTGAGGTGGGCTGAGGGTGTAGCTCAGTGAGAATGCTCTGGGTTCATTCCCTAGTACCAAGAAAAAAAAGTTTACATTTACTAGTAAAATAAATGTGAATTTGGGCACTCAGGGTGGGGCTCAGTGACAGCACTTGCCTACCACATAGGAGGCTCTGGGTTTCATCCCAATACCACACACACACAAAATTAAATTTCTTTGTGTTTAATAACATGCCACAAAATACATACGTTCTAGTCACAAGCCTTAATGTTGTATTTAAGAACATAGTGAATTGTACCCCCCAAAAAGAACATAGTGAATTATAACAGCCACTTCCAAAGGGGTCTTTGGTTAATCCTTGGTCTCATGTATAAACCAACTTAAACTTTCTCAAACCTTTAAAAAAGCATCTATAATATTATAGACTTCCCTTGATTTTGTTTTGGTGCAGGGGATGAACCCAGCGCTTTACTCATGCTAGGCAAGAGCTCTACCACTTAGCTACGCTCCCACCAATGGGATTATGTTGTGGCAAAGCAAAATAGCTGTGTTACAGCCAAGTGTTACAGCTCTGTGTTGTAGCTCAAGCACAGGCTCCAGAAATTTGAAGACTGACTTGAGAATCTGCAAGTCAGATTGTCGGCTGGCTCAGAGGAGCTTGTTGGCTCCAAATTCTGAGTGCTGAAGCAGAAATGGGAGCATCCTTATACAGGGAGCTAGGGATAGGTGAGTGTGGAGGGCAGAGTTATACAACATTCCTAAAGGGTCTCACAGTTCAAACAGTTACAAAATATTTTGATACACTGGGCAGGAGCACCCTGTAGCACAGTTACATTTTTGGAACAAAACATTTCACAGAAAAAACATGTGGCAGGGAGGCTGGCCCTATGTATTATTGCTCCATCGATTATGCTGAAGCCTCCAACTGCTGCCAAAGCAGCCTTTCCCAGGGCCAGGCCTCCCTGCTCCTGCTTGTGCTCCTGGACTGGTCACCCCCCGCACCACTGCCCATTTCCCTCCAGCGGTCTCCTGGCTCTCCTGGGCTCACCTGTCTCTACCCCTGGCCCTCACCAGCACTTGGCCCCAACCCTCCAGCGCACTCCTGGCCAGGCCCTGTGCCCAAGCCCTCTGCACCCCTGCAAGTCTCTCCCCTGGGATGAAGCCTTCCCTGTCTGTCCCCACTGCTGTGTCTCTCCCTACGGACCACCTTCTAGGAATCATGTGACTTACTTCTTTGTCACTGTTATGGTCTTTCTCCTTCACTACAGTGTCTATGACTAAACCTGCGGGGAACACTTATGTAGTTAAATGAATCCTTGTATATTTAATTTCATTAACTGTAAAAATGTGCCGGATCTTACATTCTCATTCTGACATCAATAAATTCAATAACATCCTCCCATATTTGTCTAAAATCATGTACCTAAATATCTTACAAATAAAAAAAATTTTTTGAGACACAGTCTTGCTGTGTAGCCCAGGCTGGCCTTGAACTCTCAGCAGTTCTCCTGCCTCAGCCTCCTGAGTGCTGGGATTACAGGAATGCGAACAATACCTGGCGTTCTTTTCACAACTTTAAGGAGGCAGGATGACACACAGAGAATGTCACTAGCATGTGATTCAGTGCCCGATATGGTGCCTGCTGGGATGTTGTCCTACCACCAAGGAAGTCTGCTTTGTCTCCATCATCTCTGCCTAATTCTAGCTGAAGTTTCTTGCCTGCTGGAGAACTGTCCTGGTCCTTGAGGGGTTGGGGTGCTCCTTGGGTGGGTGAAGCATGGCCCTGATGAAGACTGGACACATGGGGTCCTTAGTGGCGCCCTCGGAGAGTAAGGAAGTGGCGCTGTGGAAAACACCACCTGCCACCCGGGGGTCAGCACCATTACACTGCTGGAGCCCGGGACCCTTCTTTCCCACTCAGTAAAGGAGCCCTTTGGCCCGGAGGAGCCTTAAGTATCCTGAGAGAGACCAAGGCTAGATCTGAGAGGCAGGAAAGAAACTGAGGGATGAGGGTGGAGTTTGGGAGACAGGCCATGCAGAGAGCAGGGCTTGCCTGACTCGGAGAGTTGCTTGTTGGGCTGGGCACAGGCCTCGGGCTCTGGGTGGCTCTCAGGGACAGGCAGGCCGCTCTCCCCTCGGCTCAGTCCCAAAGCCAGCACTCACCTGTGGAGCACGTCAATGTGCAGTGAAGGTAAAGTGGCACCACCGGAGGGTGGCAGACCAAGGGAGAGACCGGCACTCAGAGAAGTGAAGGGAAGGCAGGTTTATTCGCTAGCTAGCGAGCCCAGCAGAAGTTACCTTCCAGAGTCTGAGCCCTGTTTCTCCATTTGTTCTCATATTTATCTGTTCTTCAGCCAGGGTGGGAGAGCGAGCAGAATTTCACAGAAGCAGAACTTAGCAAAGGGTAGGGAGGTGGAGGTAATGTTGTTTTCACAGTTTATCTTTAAGACATAGGGAGGTGGGCAGCTGTGTTTCAGCAGTTCATCTTCTGGGCATGGTGACCTTTGTGAATTTAGCAGGAGGGACAAGCCTTAGACGGTCAGCCTTGAGACCATCAGTCTCTGGCAAGCTTTGAGAAGGTCAGTCTGCTCTGTCTTTTGTTTTTTCCATTTCAAAGGTAGGATCCCATTTGTCTTCCTGATGCCCCTAGGATTGAGGTAGGATAAAAGATAGCAAGATAGGTAGAAAGGAGACAAGGAATATCATAATTTTAAAATCAAGCTTTTAAGAAAACTGCAGGATACAAAGTTACCCAAGGTTACAAAGCCTTTTTTTTCTTTCCAGGAAACTCACTCCAAAATCTGTAAGTTTTAAGAGATACAGTAAATCTGCAAATTAGGGCCATGCCTTTCCCTGTAAATTGGGCCCACTTTTCACCAATTTCAGACTTGTATCCCCAAGGAAATAGTACTATTAAGTGGGCGGCATCTGTCTAAATTTCAAATGCAAATGGTTTGCATTCTGACCTAGCAAACACTAGGACTGGCAAAGCCCAACCGAACTCCAATGCTGCTTGACAAAGTTCCAGCTGGGGGAAAGAAAGGGTGGAACACATCGTACCCTCATGTTTTATTTTTTCTTGCCATAATGTTTATAATTGTTACTCTGATCGCAGGAGTCATTGTCTTTGTGACTAACAACAAACTCTCCATGAGGCAAACTGGTAATGATATATTGAAATCTGATCTGGCTCACAAGTCCCAAATTCCAGTTTCTCTTAGTTCTATTGCCACATCCACTTCTAAAGAAACCTCTCCTAAAACCCCCTCTGTTTCCCCACTACTATAACTCCCCCTCTTATTGTTGACATTCTATTTACTAAAGGGGTCTTACAAAAGGATTGGAAGGACAGACTTTAGATGTAAGAAACAGTGGAAAATGGGAAATAGAAAGAACGTTAAGACAGGTAAATGCATTAAGGAGACAAGCTACTCAATATTTCTCAAAGTGCTGTAAATATCTCCTGCTCATGGACTATGAACCCAAATGACATTTAGTTAAGATGAATAGAGGTAAAGAAAAATAGAGAGCTAATAGAAAACTATATTAACCATTGTGCAGTTTCTCAAGGGCCAGCTGGCGACCACAAGTTTGACACTTAGTTGATTAAATCTTGCTTGTACCCCCGCTGATATAAAGATTTTGATTAAGTTACCTTCTGTTCTGCTTAGGTGTGGGTAAATAAGGGGACAGTTGTAATTTTTAAATATGTATTCGTGATGTTCAATGAAATGAAACAGCTTAGAGGAATTGTACTTTGTTTAACAAAAAATAACCTTTACTTCAATAGAAATTGCTAAGGCAACTTAAAATGTAAACATGTTCCGTCCAGTGCCTCCCAGCTATTGCTTAAAGATATAAAAATAAATCAGACCCTGAGATTTATCAGAGGGAACCTGGACATTGCTCATGGAGGTTCTTTCTCATCGCCGGCCCAGGACATCTCCCCTTCCTACCCTACATCGACTGCACGTCGACTGCAGCTGGTCTGCGGCAAGGACTACACATCCTAGACCATCCTCTGTCTTGAGGACACCCCAAGACCACAGGAAAACCCAGGCCCCAGCCACAATGCCTCTCGACTGTATGTGCTGCACTTCCTTCTCAGCGTGGATCTCTTTCTGCTTAGTAAACCTGCATAAGCCTCTCACCAACAATTCTTTTTTGTTGTTGTTGTTCTCAAATGCTTCTTTGACAATAAAAAAAGGAGGAAGACGCTGGATTTATCTCAGTTGTACTTTGTAACTTCTCAGTTTATCTTGAAAGCAATCTTTTCTGATACCCATATGAATTTGAGAATGAAATGAAATTACTTATATTTGCCTATAACTTTCTTATTAACATATCAATATTTACACATACAAACGTAATAAACTTTTCCAACTTTTTAACTTACTTTTTTAAACCTAAGCCAATTTGTATTGACATCTAATTACACATGCATATAAAACAGACACACTCCTCAACTGTTCATAAGATACACTGCTTACAAGCGTTCTCGTTGGACAGAATTAAATTTTTAGAGGAAAGTACTTTAAATGGGAACAAATAAGCAGACCTCCTCATGAAATAAACTAGACAAAACCAACAACTATTAAACCAACAATTCTACCAATCTCTCTTTTCATCTTAAATACAGGAGGTGTGATCAAAATGTAGTGAATGTTTAAATTAAAATTATTACAGCAAAACACACTTCCATGAATCCCCCTCAAAATATTCTCCATAGGTTCAAACACTCTCATCCCAAAGTTCCTGCCCCTTTCTGAAGCAGTTCTGTATATCCTCTCTCATGCCTTTACAAAGTGTGATCAGAACTACAGTGAAGGCTGCTGTCAAGTGCCATCTGATGGAAAGGCAGCTCCTAAAAACATGAGTGTGTCCTCATCCACTTCAGTCACCAGATCTGGCACTGTGTGACATCTGGCTCTTCCCCAAGTCAAAATGACCGTGAGAGGGAAATGTTTTCAATCCATTCAGGACACGGAGGCCAGGACAGCGCAGCTAAAGACCCTCAGGAAAGACTTCCAGAAGTGCTTCAGAAAATGGCAAGGAAGATGGGATGAGTGTGTCCAAAGCAAAGGGGAGGACTTTGAGGGGATTCATGGCAATGTGTCTTTTACTGTAAATTTTTAAAAGAAGTTAAACATTCACTATATTTTTTGAACACATGCATACAAATGTGCATAATGAGTGTGCATGAGCTACAACACTGATATGTTGGTGAAAGGCTGCTCTGGATGGGCTGCTGTGACTGGTAGAGGCCAGGTGGAGAGTGCACAGGTGAGCTGAGGCACTGTCCACACTCCCTCGAGGTAGCACAGGTATCCAGGTCTTCCTGGGCTAAGAGGATGATCTGGGCCTTTGGGTCTTTCTTGCTCCATTGTGCTCTGTTTGTCTGCTCTGTACTTTTTTTTTTTTTTTTGGTACCGGGGATCGAACTCAGGTCCTTGTGTTTGCGCAGCAGGCAGCGAAACCCCTGAGCTAAATCCCCAGCCCTGTTTGTCTGTTCTATTTTGTTTCAGTTTTATAAATAGGGCAAAGTGGAACATTCAACTAGTCTAAGAACACTTACTGTACCCCATAAATGCCGAATCAAGCATGTTTATTTATTCTTCTGCAAATGCAGCAGATCTGCACCTACAGTTATTTTTAAGAGAAGAACCGTTAAGTCATCTGGAGAAACAGGTGGGGCTGGGGCTTGAGCACAGGAGTGAGAGGGCAGAGCTGGCTGGGGTGAGTGTGGGCCAGCGGAGGGGCCTGGCCAGCCCTAGCAGGCCTTCTCCAGGAGGGCTTTGCAACACTGGACGCACTGCTGGTACACCAGCTCGAAGTCAGACTCATTCCCATAATAGGGGTCTTCAATGATGAGCTGTTTCTGTGGATCATAGCTTCCAAGCAGTTCAATTTTAGCTTTGCAGCCTTTAACTTGATTGCTTTTTCTATTCAAATCTCTGATTGCTTTCGTCCATACACAGTATGTAGTCAAATGTTGCAAAGTCCTCCTTGGTGACCTGCCGGGGAACGTGACTTATGGGGATGCCATGCTTCTTCATGCAACTTTGCCCTCGATAGTCGGGGAGGGGGGGGTTTCCCACTTCATATGTAGTTGTGGCTGCACTGTCTATCCTCCAGTTATCTGAAATGTTTTGATCAGTTACAAGTTTTCTGAAAACTGCTTCTGCAGTGGGTGACCGGCGAATGTTACCCAGACAGTGAACAGCACAGACTTCAGCCTGGACTCAGCCATGTTCCCACGTGGTCACTTCACCAACAATTCTTTTCCTCAATGAATCAGAACCCGGGAGAGGATGAGTTGAAGCCTCCACCTCCTCTTTGCAGCAACCTCCACAAACCAATGTGGTGACAGGATAAATGAAGACTACCCATTTTGAAGAGCAAGAGGGAGGGAAGGCTACTCCTTCAGCTCTGCATCCCCACCTGTCTCACTGGACCCACCCAGACCTGTTCCCAAGCTGGAGCCCAGGGAACTGAGAGAGTTCAGTAGGTAGTTGCCCTGACAAGAGCCCCAGCAGGGGCACTCAGCTCTCCCTCAGCTCAGCCCAGGGAGGAAGGGAAGTAGAAGGGGGTGACAGCCTGGCAATGGTAAGGTACCAGACAGCAGGACAGGTCCTGGCCACCTGCCCAAGCTGAGGCAGAGACAGGAGAGCCAGGTCCCAACTATGAGGGGCTTTCTGGGCTGGCAGGGTCACCTGGCTCCTCACATTTATCTGAGGCCAAAGGGGAATTGGCAGCTCAAGAGTGACAGCCAGCCTTGTTGTCAATCCTGAGACCCTCACCCCACTTCAGTGCCCTGGAGGGGCCAGGAATGGGCTCAGAGGCTCCTTAAAGCCAGGGATAGGGAACAAGTATTGGGGCAGAGATGCAGACATTTGGTAGATGAGGTGACCCTTCAGCACATCAGCTGTTTCACTCAGAACTGGGCATGGTGGTGCATGCCCGTAATCCCAGCACTCAGGAGGCTGTGAGTTCAAGCACAGCCTGGGCTACACAGCCAGTTCAAGGCCAGCCTAAACTACATAGCAAGACTCTGACTCAGAAGAAGAAGAAAAAGAGGAAGAGGAAGAGGAGGAGGAGAAAAAAAGAAAAGCTGCAAAGCTTGGGAAGCCTTGGGCTGTCCCCACAAACCCCAGGTCCCTACTGGTCCTGCCTGACCCCCCTTTCCTCCCCTTCTGGATTCTGGGAATGTGGCTGTTTCCATGGAGCCGTGCAGAGCTGCCCTCCCCTGAAGTCCCCACCCCACAGGCTTGCTGGTGATTCTGTTGCTTGCTTGAGGCAGGCCCCCACCTGGATCAGGAGCACCAGGGGGGTCTGCAGCCCAAGGCTCAGGGGCCCCAGCAAGCCCTTCTTTGAGTGGATGCAGCAGAAAGCCTGGATCTGAGCCCTCCAAAGTCAGGGGTATCCTGCTGTAAACCAAAGTGGAACAACAGCAAACTCGAAAACAATCAGCCTGTTTTTCCACTCTGTTCTCTGAAGCAATAGAAAAGTTTTAACTTTTGGCCCTCACTTTTTTGTCAGCTCTGCTTGGCTAGGGCTCAAGTCACTGTTGGGTAACCCAGAAGAATGTGACATCACTAACCCCATGACATCATTCTATCTGGCTTGTCATTACCCTGTGACATCACCCACCTGCGCAGTGGCATCCTCACATCCTGTTCCATGTCTTGACCCCGTGGAGTCACTTTATGTGACCTCCTCGCCTGCCCACTGGCCTGGGACATCTGCCTCTCTGCAGCCCAGTGCCCACCAGGTGGGGAGCTCGTCCGGCCCTGCTCCGCAGGCCCACGCTAGACGCTGCTCCGAGCTCGTGGACGGGCGATTTCCAGCGCGAAGGCGCTGGTAGGAGGGGTGCGGGTCGCCTGGCGGAGCTCCGCGGTCCGAGGAGGGGGGTCGTAACTGATGCTGGGCGGGGCGAGCTGGGAGAAGAGGGGAGTCGCGCCCATTGGCAGGCGCAGGCGTGGGAAAGGACGCCCGCCCGGGTTCACACACCCTGTGGCGGATGGGCCTTAAATAGCGGGCGCCGCGCGGGTTGGGCTGGGACCCTGCAGAGGGCGCGGAGCGCTCGGTACTGGGCCGAGGAGCAGCACACCCTGCAAAGAAACCGAGCGCCGTGGGCCTGGGATTTAACTCAGCGGCGCTGTGTCTGCCTCGCAAGCGCAAGGTCCTGAGTTCGATCCCCGGTACCAAAAAAAGAAAGAAAGAAGGAAAAAAAGCCGAGCGCCTTGCTGCACACCCCAGACAAGTGCTGCTGCGCGGCGGAGCCCTGCAAGGTGGGTCTGGGGCGCGCGCAGAGGGCCCGGGATGGGAGGGACAGCAGCGCGTGGGATTCAGCTGCTCCCCGACCCGCACCCCCCAAGCCGGCCGTGGAGAAACGGCGCCTTCATCCTAGACTCCCTCAGCAAAGACATAAGCGGGGCGGAAGGGAGAGTCGAAGGCCTGAGCTCGAGGAAGGTCGAGCAGGAAGGGGCGCCCATGACGCAGTTCCACCCCCAGCGCTCCCGCCGCTCGGAACTGGCGAAGACTGACGCCCTGGAGGTGACCGTAGGACGCCTGCGCGACCTGCGCCCCCGCAGGTGACCGGCGAGGCGCGGCCGGGCGTGCTGGGAGGCAGGAGGGGCGAGGGTCTCCGCCGGGGCGTCCCCTCCAGTCCCCGCCGCTCTGCAGCCAGACTCCGCACTGACCTCGCCTTCCTGGGCAAGCGTCGCGCCGCTCCACCGGCCCTGGCCAAGCCGCTTCCTGACCGGCTGCGAGGGCGTCTGCCGTGCCACTTGGCTGCCAGCCTCCCGGCTCTGCGCGAGGCTCCCGCGGTGCCCAAGCTGGGGCTGCAGGCCGGGGCGGGCCCGGGGGGCCGTGGATGAGCTGCGCCCGGTCCTAGAGTGCGGGCTTGGCCGACTGTACTGAGCCGGAAAACGATTTCCGAGCAAAAAAGGTTTTTCCTGCGGCTAGCTGACCTAACTGACAAAGAGCCACCCTCAGTTCCCCAAGTGTCTGTATCCAGTGTACTTGTCTATCAAATCATGTAAAAGAAATGTAACGTCCTCCACCAATGAACTGATGATAAATGCCTTGCTTCTGTATCCCCACTCCCCTTCCTTAACCCATATAAACCCTGTTCACTGCCGGCTCCGGGCGGATCGCTTCGTGGAGAAATCCTGCTCAGTCCGCCGCGTAATAAATTTGGCCCCAGCCTCCGGTGCGTTCTCCATTCTTCTTGGCCTGGTCTTGCTATACACTAAGAGCTGCCACACTGTGGACTGTAAGCCTACCGTTATAGTACCACAGTGTATTTAACTCCAGAGGCCCGCCTTGTCTTTTTGGGGGTTTTCTTTGTGAATAGTCTTGTTCCTAAGAGCCTGCACACTCAGTCCCAGGAAGGCTGCGAGTCTCACGCTGGCCCTACGAAACCCTTACCCTAGGCCCCGCCCCTTCCCTAGGCCCCGCCCCTCCGGGCTTTGTCCCGCCCAGCTGGGTCCGCCCTTCCCTGGCACCGCCCCTAGCCCGGGCCTGTTGAAGCTCCGCCTCGGTCCGGGAGATCTAGATTTCCAGGTTCACCGATGGAACCCAGGGCCCACCTTGGGGTGGCCCTAGGGTGTGATGTTCCAGGAGGCAGGCAGGAAGGTGACAGCCACCAAGCTTTCCAGGATGTATCTCAGTGGTGGAAGGTGCTTAAAGGTTCAACTCCAAATACCAGCCCCCCAATAAATACCACCCCTTTCAAATGTCCATCACCTGATGAATGGATAGATTGTGACGTATCCTTACAACAGGATATTATTTGACAATAAAAAGGAATGAGAAACTGGTACATACTGTTGTGAGACTCTAAAAGACGAGAGACTGGGCCGGGGATTTAGCGCAGTGGTTCCGCCGCCAGATTCACAGGCACAAGGTCCCGAGTTCGATCCCCGATACCAAAAAATAAATGGGGGGGCTGGGGATTCAGCTCAGTGGTTTCACTTCCTGCTGCTCAAGCGCAAGGACCCGAGCTCGATCCCCGGTACCAAAAAAAAAAAAAAAAAAAAGACAAGAGACTCACGGACTGGAACAGGAGGACTTTATTTCAGGTTTAAGGTGTACACGGGCTCAACGGACTCCTCCCAAAGGAAGAGCCTTCAACAAAGAGAAGCTCCAGCTTGTGTATATTTTGTCGAAGGAGGTGGTGTTTCTAGTGACGTAGCAAGTGAGTTTACTGGAACAAGACAAGGGCAGTTTCGTAACTTTGCCTCGAAAGAAGACACTGTCTTACGAGTCATGTGAGATCAGTGTCATGAACTGTATTTACAGGACATAGTTGTTAATTTTATCTGTACCAGAACAAGGAGTGACAGCTACGGGGGAGAGGGGTTGATGGGGGGCTGCCCGAGGCTGGGAAGGACTTGCTGTTCTCTAAGTCCTGCTTCATCACTATAATTTGGAGCACCCTTGAAATTATTATGCTTTGAAAAAAGCAGTCACAGATGGTCACGTAATGATGATTCCATTTACATGCACTGTCCAGAGTATGCTAATCAGTAGAAAACAGACCAGTGGTTCCCTGGAGCTGATAGAGGAGTGTGGAAAGAGCTTGTGGGCATGGGGTTTCTGTGGGAGGTGATGAAAATACTAAAATTGATTATGATGATAATTGTACAACTCTTTAACCACATTAGAAACCACTGAATTTAAGTGGGTGAATTGTATGATGTAGTTAATTCCCCCCCCGCAAAGCAACTAGAGAAAAAAAGACATGTTACACACAGAACATGAAAGATAGAGTAGAAACAGATTTATCATGGGGACAATGCAAGAGAGAAGACAGTGAAATAACATCTTTAAAGTACTAAAAGTGGTCAGGTGTGGCGCATACACCTGTAATCTCAACACTCTGGGAGGCTGAGGCAGGAGGATGACAAATACAAGTCCTGCCTGGGCAAGGTAGCAAGACCTTGTCTCAAAATGAAACAAAAGTTGGGCACGGTAGCACATGCCTGTAATCCCAGCACTTGAGAGACTTGGGCAGGAGGATCTCCGTGAGTGGAGGTCAGCCTGGGCTACACAGTGAGTTCAAGGCCAACCTGGAATATTAAACATAAAAAAAGTTGACTTAGTCCTCCAGAAATAGACCCACTGTACATATATGGCCAATTGATATTTGACAAAGTTGCAAAGACAGTTCAGTGGAGAAAGGAGAGTCTTTGAGCCAGAGGTTCAGGAACAATTGGGCATCCGTGGAAAAATGAATTAACCTGGATCTTTACCTCATACAAAGTTAGGCAAAAATATCTTAGAAGACCAAAAGAATAACGCATGAAAGGAAAGTGGACAAATTTGGCTTCATCAAAAGTAAGAACTACTGCTGGTGGCACATGCCTGTAGTCCCAGCTACACACGAGGACAAGACAGAGGGATCTCATCGCTTCTCAGCCTTTTGGCTAAGATCAAGTGAAGACAGAGGGATCACAAGTTCAAGTCCAGCCTGGGCAATCTTAGTGTGACACTCTTTCAAAGTAAAAATTATAAAAGGGCTTGAAGTAGTTCAGTGATAGAGTGATTCTAGGTTCAATTCCCAGTACTGACAAAAATAGATACAATAAATAAAAAGGGTTGGAGCTGTAGCTTAATGGTAGAGGGCTTGCCTAACATGCATGAGACCCTGGGTTCAGTCCCCAGTATCTGCCCCCACCCCAAACAAAAGTCTAATGTATTGTATGCTTTAAATATTTGTAGTTTATTCTGTATTAATTCCATAAGACTATTTAAAAATAACAAGACAAAGCTAATGTGTGCACAGAACATTTAAGACTGCTTGGCTTGTAGTAACTGCTCCTTCAAAGGTAATTATCAATGAGAACTGACTGTCTCAAGGTCAAGTGCTTGCAAGGGGCTGCATGGCTTCAGGAAAGGGGGTGTGGTAGCACCCCAAGAAATCTTCACCCCAACCCTCTCTTGGGCAGAAGGGGCAGGACCGATCCCCCACCACCACCCTGAGGGGGGCTGGGCCCAGTGTGCCCTTGCGCCCTCTTGTGGCCCCAGGGACACAGCAGGCTGAGCTCCCCAGAGCCAAGGGGGTCGCTGTCCTGCACTCCTTCCATCCCCCTGCTCACCTACCGGCCTCTGCAGAGAGCTAAAGTGTCTGCCTACTTGCATTACCAAGGTGGCAGTTCCTCCTCCCTGGGTTGAGATGTGCCAGAGCCCTGCCCAGATCCCTGGCCCTACACCCCAGACTCATGAATGGAAGAGGCTTCCCTCTGAAGGCTCTTCAACTGCAGTGACAGCTTGCCTCAGGAGCCTTGTTCAATCCTAGTCATGCCTGTGGTCAGACCCTGCTCTCCCTCAATCCTGCTGCCCCCAGCTCCCCTGCCCACTGCTGGGAGCCACCTGGTATCCCCACAGGTTAGCCAGAGCAATTGTCCAAACGCCTGCATCAGGTCTCATCACCCCCAAGCCCAGTTCAAAGCCTTTTCCTCTCAGGACAGTCTGCGGGGTGCTCGCCTCTGGGCCCTTGTGTACAGCCCTGCATGTGTGTGCTCTCAAGCCGTGACTGGCCGACACTGTCTGCTGGGGTCCCTGAGGCCCATGTGAACAAAACTGGGCTGTGATCCTATCTGCCACCACCCCTGAAAACCGATACAGGTGGGTGCTGATCCAGTGTGAAAACCAAAACAATGAAGTTTTTTTTTTTTAAAGCAAGAATATCTGGCCAGTCCCGGCATGGTCGTGCACGCCTGCAATGCCAGCACTCGGGAGGCTGAGGCAGGAGGATTGCCATGAGTTCGAGGCTACCTTGGGCTACATAGTGAGTTCAACACTAGCCTGAACTACACAGAGAGACCTTGTCTCAAAAAAAGGGGGGGGCCGGGGATTTAGCTCAGAGGTTCTGCTGCCTGCCTTGCAAGCACAAGGTCCCGAGTTCGATCCCCAGTACCAAAAAAAAAAAAAAAATTGCAAAAAGAACCCCAAACCAAACCAAAAAAAATTAAAAAGACCATCTTCCCAGGTATGGTGGCATGTGTCTGTAATCTCAGCTACTTGGGGGCCAGAAGAGCACAAGCTGGAGACCAGCCTGGGCAAGACCCTGTCTAAAACTCTTAAAATTTTTGTTGAAAAACCTAAAGGGCTGGGAATGTACTTTGAAGAGGCTGTTTTTCTTCCAGTGAAGGTGTTTGCTGCCTTTGTCAAAGATAAGGTGTGCTTGGAGCTGTTTTTTGCATCTTCTGTTCTGTTCCATTGATTCTCTCTGGGCTCCACCTGTGGGCATTACTGCACTTGGAATCAAGCCCTTAATATATGGGTCTTTGGGAGATGCTTCATATTGAAGCCATACAATGGAATTGTCCAGCTCTATGCAGGGTGTTGTCTAACATCACTGCTCCCCTCCACCTCTTCTCCCTCCTCCCTTGGGAATGTACTTTGGACACACACACACACACACACACACACACACACGCTCCCACAAAGCAAGGTTTCTTCATGGCTTGAGGGCAGGCAAAGAGTTCTTTAAAAGGTCAGCAAAAAGTGCTAAGCATAAAGGAAATTGTTGATAAACCAGGTTAAAATGTGAAATTTCGGATCATCAAAAGGCATTGTTAATTCTGGCTGTGTAGCTCAGTGATGAGCGCTTGCAGAGCACCGCTGATGCCTGAGTTTAAACCCTCAATATCACACACACACACACACACACACACACACACACACACACACAGAAAAAAGAAAGGAAGGAGCAGAATATATAACAAACTGCGAATCAACCAAACATCTGTGATGATTAAGCTTGTGAACTTGATTGGCTTGGGAGGTGCCTAGGGGTTTAGGGTGTGTCTCAGTGGATCACAGAGCCATGACCTTGGGGGTCTATGTCTGGCCCCTGGCCTCTGGCCCCTGGCACCTTCCCCTCTGGCACTGGTTCCCTGCTCTGTTTCCCAGCTGCCACTAAGTTAGCATCTTCCTCCACCACGCCCCTATGCCATGTCTTTTCTGCTTGGAGCTGGCTGACCAGAGACTGAATCCTCTGAAACTGGGAGGATCCAAACAAACCATTTCCTCCTTTAAATTGTGAGTGTCAGGTATTTGGTCCCAGGAATGGGAAAGCTGACTAACATGGGGTAGAATGGTGGCAAAAATGCTGAAGAGACATCACAGGTGATGCATGTCCTGCTGGTACAGTGGCACATACCTATAATCCCAGCTACTGAAAAGGCTGAGACAAGAGGATCAAAAAGTTTAAGTTTGGGCCGGGGATTTAGCTCAGTGGTTTCGCCGCTTGCTGCGCAAGCGCAAGGACCTGAGTTCGATCCCCGGTACCAAAAAAAAAAGTTTAAGTTTAAGGCCAGCAACTTAGACCCTGTCCCCAAACAAAAAATAAAATAGGGATAGAGACAAAGCTCAATGAGAAGGCCCTGAGTTCAACACCCTCCTCCCAAAGGAAGGGTCCTCCTGGTTACCCGCTTAGATGGAAAAGTTTACAGAAACAGGGTGGGAGGTCCATCACAGATGTGCCGCCCACCAGCCTCTTCTGGAGGTGCCTGCTCAGAACCCCAGGCCTTTCCTGCCCTCTCTCTGGCCTGGGTCCAAACCCAGTGAGTGCCCCCACCTGGCCCCAGACCCCACTGACAGGGTCAGCAAGACCTGGGGGAGGCTCTGTAGCCCTGGCGTTCAGGCCAGGGAGGCAAGGCCCCAGTGGGTGGGGTGAGTGGAGGCTTCTTGCTGCTGGGGACAGCAGGGCTTGTGCAGTGCTAACCACTGGTTGCCATTCTCTGGTTGGAAGCTGATGTGACCTTGGCTAGTGCCAGCCTGGGCCAGGCTCCGTCCGCCCTGGGAAGGAGTCCCTCAAGTAGCTGGAGGCCCCTCAAATGCTATCTATTTGTGGCCTGGGCCCTGACGCTGGATCACATGTGAGCACAGGGGCTGGGTATTTTTGGCAGTGGGGGTGGAGCTTCCAGGGCCAGCCCAGCAGCATGCCGCTCTGGGACAGGCACTCAGATGCACTGCTCCACTGCTCTGCTGGGTGCCGAGACTCAGGTAGGACATGGTCAGCTTCTCTGTCCTGGCTAAGGGTCCGAAGGGCAGGCCACCCCCACAGAGGCCTCACTAGGGCAGAAAGGAGGGCGTGGGTCCGTGGGTAGGAAGCCATGGTGCTTTGGTCTCTGGGTATCTCCAGCTCAGGACTGTCCCAGCTAGAGTGACCTCCACCCCCTGGGTCTAGCAGTAGCTGACCAAGGGCCAGTGAGCAGCACCCATGGGGCAGAAGCTGAAGGCCCCCTCCAGCTCTGTCCACTTTGGTTCTCTGAGCTGGGGCAGAATGGGTCCTTGGGCAGCCAGGCAGGACTGGGATGGGTATGCAGACCTTGGGGATCACCAGGAGGGGCAGCTGGGGGTTCTGGGTCTGATCTCTGCTCCACAGCCTCAGACCCAGTCCCTTCCTGCTGAACCCTGAGCTGGCTCAGCCAGCACCAGTGTGACCTTGGTGAGCTCAGAGGAAAACTGTCCCAGCCAAGGCTGGTGAAAGGTCATCACCCTGAAGGCTGGGCACCTACTGGATACTGCAGCCACATTCTGTGGCCAGCTGTCTCCTAGGGCGCCCTGGGACAGGCCAGGTTGACCATCACCAAGGAACTGACCCCTGGTGGGTTGTCCTTGGTACAGACTATGCTGAGGGAGGTGGAGGAAGAGAGCCTTACCCACCTGACAGAAAATCTCAGGAGAGGTGAAGGAATGGCATTTCTGGGAACAAAAATTCAAACATGACAGATGTCATGTTTTTAGTGTACTTCACTAATGTAAAATGCTATTTGATTTTAGGACTGTGACAATGTGTATTGTAAAGTTGCCATTTGGAGCCGATTTGGAAATAGGGAAAGAGAGAGTTGGGGATTTTCTAATTCAGAAGAAAGTAGATTTGACAGAAGCACAGCCTGTCCTCTGGGACGCTGCTCTGCTTTCTTGCAGGTGGAGATGGAGAGCCAGGCGGGGGGTCCCCGCTAGTGCACACAGGACAGTGGCAGCATGCGCAGGCTTGTGCCTGGAGCCTGGACACCTGAAGATCCCATCCGGCCCCAAGTCCTGTCACCACTCCAGAGCCTCTGCTGGCTGTGATGGACAACTTCCAGTACAGTGTCCAGCTCAGTGACCAGGACTGGGCCGAGTTCTCGGCCACTGCTGATGAGTGTGGTCTCTTGCAGGCGGGCCTGGCTTCTGGGGACGAGCTCTTCTCCAGCGACATTGACCAAGGGGACAGCAGTGGTAGCAGCCCACCTGGGCCCCAACCTCTCCTCACTGGGCAGCTGGCTGCCCAGGGGAAGGGCTGGAAGGCCTGTGAGGAGGAGCACAGTGTGGCCACCTGGCAGCCGGCCAGCGGGTCTCAGTGGCAGCCTGTCCTGGCTCTGGGGGCCAGTCAGCAGGGGGCCGGCACGTCCGCACGGCCTGAAGCTCTGCTGTCCGTCAGCTCAGGCACCGCCCTTCCTGACCAGTGCTCCTCCTTTCCAGGGTCAGTAGATTCCAGTGGCGAGATGCAGAGGCTTCTGCAGGGCCCTTCCTCCAGCCCCTCTGGTGAGCCCCCCCCGAGTTCTAATCCCCCCAGCCACACTGCCATCCCTCAAAAGTCCCCCAACAGTTCTGACACCCCTCTGCGGAGCACTGACCGCAAGAAGAGGCGTCCAGCGGGGGCCAAGGGGGGCAGACACTCAGACACGCCAGGGCCTGCTGCGGCCCCAACAGGATCTCCAAAGCTCCCTGAGGCCAGGGCTGAGGAAAGCCTTGGTCTGGCTGGGGCCAGGGGCAAGGGGTTTGGGGCTGGGACAGCAAAGGCCATGGCAGGAGCCCAGCAGAACAAGCCTCAGCCAAACTCTGCAGGTGCTCTCTCCACATCTGTCCCCATAACTGAGCAAGGTACAGATCAGATCAGAATGACCCCCAGAGCTGAGTTACACAGGGCTTCTCGACCTGTCCAGGAGGCTCATCCAGATGCTTCCATGGCCGAGCCAGATGAAGCTCTGTCTATGCCCTCTTCCAAGCCCCAACCTGATGTGGCCCTGTCTACACCTGACTCCACACCTGGACTGCATGTGGACCTGCTTAAAGCAGGCCCAATGGCCAAGCCAAAGGTAGATTCACCTCTGCCTGTCTCAGTGGCTGTGCCCAGTAGGGCTTTGCCTCATTCTGCTTCCAAGACTGAGCCTGCTGTAGCAGCATCTACACCTGTCCCTGGGACTGAGGCTGCAGCGCCCTCCCAGCATCCTGTTCTCCAGACTAGGGCTGGTCTGATAGAGACACAAACGACCGTGCCTCCAAGAGGGCATCAAGAGAAGCCTGGAGGGGCTCCTGGACATGCTTTGGGGGAGCCTCCCCTGGGCCCTGCCCAAGCCCCCAAGAAGAAGAAAGTACGATTCTCCATGGCTGTGCCCAGCCCTGAAGAACCAGGATCGAAAGAGGCTACAGGTCCACCTTCATCAGCCTCTGCCTGGCCCTCAACCCCAGGGATGGCAGTGAGGGGCCGCGAGGGGTCTGCAACCTGGGACGCAGTGGTGGTCGGACCCCGGCCCCCCCAGCCTCGGATCCTCAAGCACCTGCCACCCCCTGCTCCCTCTGCTTCCGCAGGTACTGGGCCTGGGAGCTGCTTTGCAGTGACGCTCCCTGAGGCCTATGAGTTCTTCTTTTGTGATACCATTGAGGAGGAGGAAGAGGAGGAGGAAGATGCCAGTGAGGAGGCAGTAGCGAGCCAGGCACTGGGTGATGTCCAGTGGCCGGACATATGTGAATTCTTCTTCCAGGACTGCCACACCCAGAGGCTGGGGCACCAGGGGAGCTGCTCCCCCACTCCGCCTCCAGGAGCTGACGCTGCAGCAGCTGTGCCCCCTGGAAACCCAGTGCCCTTCTCTATCCCTGAGGCCTACGAACACTTCCTCGGGGAGGACAGGTGTGGGGGTGAGGTTCTCCCCACTCCCCTTCTCCAGCTGCAGACTTCAGAGCCCCTCAGGAACATAGGGACAAGGACTCCGCCTGAGCCTGGCCCAGCCAGAGCAGAGCAGCTCAGCCTGGCAGCCAAGCAGGCAGGTATGTGGTGCTCAGGCTCTCGGCCCATCCAGGCTCGGAGAACACACTGTTCAGGGAGCTAGGCCAGGAGGGATGTGGGGAGCGCAGGGAAGATCCTAGGGCCCTGGCCAGTGGGGGGGCGCTCGGGGACCTCCTGAGAGAGAAAGGTAAGCTCCAGTTGTCCCAGGACACAGCTCACACATGGTAGCCCAGGCCAGACCCGGGAACCAGCGGGGCCCTGCTGCCTTCAGGGCTGGGGGTGGGAGCAGGCACCTGACTTCTTCTCTGGGAGGTATGTTGCAGACCAGGAAATGGCAACACTGCAAACCATCCTGATTCAAGTCTGAGACATGCTACCCAGGGCCTCTAGGAAGACATCACAAGGGTCACAGGACAGGCCTGTCCTGGGTGGGTGTGTCCTAGGGCAGACGTGTTTAGGGCAGGTATGTCCAGGAAGGCATGGCCAGGGCAGATGTGTCCCAGGACAGATGTGTCCTAAGGCAAACGTGTCCAGGTCGGCATGTCTCAGGACAGAGGTGCTTCACAGTGAACAGCTGACTTAAGGGTGACCTTCTTTTTCCAAGGAGAGCTCCGGCGTCCCCGTGCCTCACTTACTTTTAGTCAGAATGACATGTGCCTGGTGTTTGTAGCCCTTGCCACATGGGCTGTAAGAACCTCAGATCTACAAACCCCGGATGCTTGGAAAACAGGTTTGGAGGCCACAGGGCAGAGGGGGCTGGTGCCCACAAGCCAGGCCACGGGGCCACAATGCCCAGCCTTACCTGCTGGGCGGGTAGGGAGGGGGTGCATGGGGAGGCACAGGTTTCTCCCAAACTCTTACCTCCCCCGTTGCTGGCCCACATCCAGCCCACTGCCCTTGCCCGCTGGCTGTCCTGCCCTTTGAGGACTAGATCAGTCATGTGGGCTGGAGCTGGCGCCCAGGAGACCTTGTGCTTCCCTTGCAGTCTTGCTGGCCAATATTGGCACCATTTCCGCTATCCGCTACTTCCGCCGGGAGGTGAGGCGAGGGCGAAGCTCCAGCCCCAGCCCCAGCCCCAGCCCCAGCCCCAGCTACAGCTCCTAGGTCCAGGCCTGGTCTAGGAAGACTCAAGATAAGGAGATGGACAGAGATGTCCAGGATGAGCTGTTGCCTCCTCCGCAGCCTGAGACCCAGGACATCTACAGCACGCAGGAGGGAACCAGTGTCCTTGGTGCTGTGGACCCCACATGAGGGGCCAGCCAGGGGCCAAGGTCAAGGCCACTACCCACACCTGAAGGGAGAGGAGACTTTAATTCTGGGTGGGTAGAGGATGAGCAGGGAGCTAGTTAATAGGTAGCGAATAAACACAGGGCACCCAGTTAAATTTGGACTTCAGATGTAATACTCGAGACATACTTTACTAAGTAACTCCTTGTTTATCTGAAATCTAACTTAACTGGGGATCCTCCGTTTCATCTGGTCATATAGGTCAGTGGAGTGTGTTGCAGGAAAGGACCCTGGAATTAGGAGTGTCAGAGAGCGGCAGCTGCACAGGTCTGGTGGGGCTGGGATGGGCATGCTAGGTGGCATCCAAGGTGGTGGGAGTGGTTTTCCAGGGATTACGCCTTGTGCATAACAGGCTGGGCTGGCAGGGGCCTCACAGGCCCCTCTGCACCCCGAGGCCCAAGGTCTGTGGCCAGCTGGAGTGGATGAGCAGGTGCCTGGAGGAGATCCTGCAGTCTCTACAGGGTGGGGCAGTGGCCAGGGTCTGGGCTCTTCTAGGGAGCCCTACTCAAGGGTACAGAGAACTTGGTGGCCTCAGATGAAAGGACTGGGCTCTTACAATGGTTCCAGGAGTCAGAGATGGGTGGAGAGGTAGGTGAAAGACCCAAGGTGGAAGAGCAGTGAGAGGAGGGGCTGGGCATTCAGCTCAGTGGTTTGGCTGCCTGCCTCGCAAGGGCAAAGTCCCGAGTTCGATCCCCGCTACCAAAAAGAAAAGAAGAAAGAAAGAGCGGTGGGCAGATGCCGGAGGCAGAACACAGGGTCCCCAGGATGGTGGGAACCCCCTGCTACTCAGCAAGAACATAAAGACACAGAACCAATAAAAACTCCCCTTTCTTGTTTATGGCACCAGTGTCTCTAACCAGCCCTTCCCTACACATCCAGCAGTGCAGGGCTCTCTCACCATCCTTGCCATATACTCATACTCTCAAACCTCTGCACGTAACAGCTCATACCTGGCTGGCCTCTGACCCGTCTGCCCTCACATACTCTGACCCCGACAGGTTTGCTCAGCCCTCTGCCCTTCATAACCGCACTGCTCCCACTCCAGCCATCATTCTCATCAGGTCCCCTCCTCCATTTGGGGAGGCTACTGTGGCTCTCCAGGACCTCCCCGGTGTCCTTCCCTGGGCCGTGGCCAGCCACATTGACCAGGGTGTCCCCAGGGATGAGGCACCTCCTCCTGGCTGCCACAGCTGCTGGTGAAGCTGGGGAGCCAGGGCCGGCGGCGGGGCGGGGTGGGGGGCTTCTCTGCCATCAGGGTTTGGAGGCACCCGTGGCCTGCTCGGGTTAGACCCTGACTGCAGAGCTGATGTGGGGCAGCAGGGTACTGGGGGCACTGCGGATCCCCTGGCAGGGCTGGCACTGGCAGGCTGGGGTTCTGAGAGGCAGCCCTGCTAAGGGGCCATCAGATCCACTGGATGAACCCTGCCTCTGCCTCAGGCCTCCTAAACGGTGGCCACTTCTGGTTGGAGGGAGATGAAGTCTTGTTCCAGGTGGGGGATTCGCCATCTGGTGGGGGGTGGGGAGAGAAGTGTTGGCTTGCAGAGAGCCAACTCCCTGTCGCTCATCCCAGAAGGAAGCCGGACCCTCACTCACCTGGGGGAGGTGGCAAGGGGCTGGATGAACCTTCTCTGGTAAGGGAGACCTGCGAACCCCAAACCACAAGTCTGGCAACTGGGGAGTTCAGATGGCAAACCTGCCAGACCCTCCTGCTTTGCCCCGGGCCTGCTTTCTTTCCTCCCGAGGCCCTGCCTGTCCTGCAGACCTCAGTCCCTGTCCCTGATCTCTGCCTGTCCCGTACTCTCCTGCTCTTCTCCTTCCCCTTCAGACTCCTAGGAGCCCCACACTCCCACAGTGCACCCCTTCATCCAAGGGACTGGAACTCACCAGCGGAGGGGAGTCTGAGGGCTGAGGCCCCCGGCCCTTGACGGAGCCTTGGTACCTCCGAGAGGCTCGGGATGGCAAGGCTGCCTTCTTGGAGAACAAGTGGGGATCTGCAGGGCCAGGGCAGCTGGAGAGTCTGGAGCTGGGGTCGGAGACAGGCACGGACACAGGAACCGGGGGGAACGGGCTTGAAAGCTCAGGTCCAGGCGAGCTCTGCATTGCACTGAGGAACTGTCGGGAAAGCGGTTAATCTGAGGCCCTGGGCTGGGCCCATGGTGGAGCCCAGGGACCCCTGGCCCAGAAACTCCTTGGTCTCCAATCAGTCTGAGAAGAACTCAGGCCGTCGGCACCTACAGCCCTGTGGCCCAGCACAGGACTGACCTCATCCCAGCCGCGGACATCTGTGATCTTGTGGTGGGAGGTGGCGGGTGGGGTATAGGGATCAGCATAGAGCGGGGAGTGTGGAGCTGCTAGAGAGTGTTCTGGGGCTTCTGGGCCACCCTCCAGCTTTGGCCTGCCCACCTGGAGGGGAGAGAAGGAAGAGAGAGTCTTCAAGGCAGAAGAAGCTGGAGTCTCCCGTCCTCTAAGCAGAGGCCCATGGGGGCTCCAGGACCACCTAAGCAAGTGATGGTGAACCCTTTAGAGCTTTCAATGATGCAAAAGGCCCTCTGTGGGATGCGCGCCATGGGTTCACCACCACTGACCTGGGATGAGGGACAGAGCCAGGGAGGTGGAGGGGGGTAGAGCGGCCGGAGCCTACCTGGGCCAAGTCCAGGTGCAGGGGCGGTGGTGCTGATGCGCCAGGTGCCTCCCTTTGGGCCTTGCCCCTGGGTGACCGGCTGCTGCCACCACGTCTCAGCTCTGCCCTCCGTTGCCCAACGCTGGCACAGTCAGGGTTGGCCCGATCCTGAGGAGACCAAGAACCTTCCAGAGAATTCCCTGCCTTCCCCATTCTCTGAGGCTGCCCAGAGTTGCCTCCAGGATGAGCCCCCTTTTTGAGGAGTCAGGGCCCAGCCTTGGGATGGGGAACAATGGGACCCAGGCCCCAGTACACGGGGCCTCCTCGGCCACTCACAGGTGCAGGCCAGTCCACAGTGGATGGCACGCGGGACTCAGGGGGGAGTGGCTGGTGCGGGCAGAGCATAGTGCCGGGCACCCTGAGTCCCAGCTGGTCCATCCATCTGAGGAGAGTGAACCTTGGCTGCCACCCACAAGCTGGGCAGCCAGAGGTGAGTGGGTAACTGATCCATCTCCTCAACCCATGCCCGGCCCCAGCCTCTGATCCCAGGACTTGAGTTGTGGGGCCCTCAGACCCTCACCCGTGTGGGCTCCTGCAGCCCTGGGGGGCTCTCGAGGCTGGGCAGCAAGGGCACCCCATCTCTGCGGGAGACAGTCCGAAGGCATAGCAGCCAGTGGCTGTAGTCTTCGTAGCTGGCACATACCACGCGGATGGTGTTGATGAGGCGGCCTGGCACACAGAGACACGAGGTAGGGGCCTGGCAGGATGGGGTGTAACCCACAGAGCCCCAGTAAGGTGCTGAGGCATCCACTAGGCCCAGCCAGGCAAAGGGGCAGAGCCCAGGGCACCTTCTATCAGGAAGGAGCGGATCTGTTTCTCCTCCTCCTCCAGGTTGATGTGGATGGCACTGAGTGGTAGCTCCCCCTGTGGGTACAACAAGTGAGGACAGTCCCAGCGTGGGGCAACCCCAGCTCCAGCCTGGCCCTGCCCCTTTGTCTTCTCTGGCCATCAGGAGGCCAGGCAGTCCCCTCTGTCCCGGGAACAGCCTTACTTGGTCTCTGGGTGGCTGGCACCAGCCCATGGCAGATGCAGGAAGACACTTGTGGGCCCGGCCCTGGTGGCAAAGCCCATGTGTGCTTTTCAGAGGCTGTGATTGCACACAGGACACTCTTGGCCCAGAGAACACAGGTTCATGCATGTGCATGCACATGCCCCTGGGCATGGGAGAGCTGCTCAGAGGCACGGGGCACACGTACCCAGGAGGCAAGGAGGGCTCCCAGAGCAGCTGTACCCACAGCACCCAGCCAGGGTGATGGTCTGGTTGGTGGCTGAGGGCCCTCTAGGGTGAGATGGTAGGTCGGGCCAGGGACCCCTCCAGGTCAGAGCTGAGACCAGACTGACCAGGGCAAGGGGGACGGGTGGGTGGGGCCGTGGGCTCTGTCCCAACAGGTCCTGAAACACAGGTTCCTCCTGAGCTGCTGCCCCCCCCCCCCCACTGCTTCCCTGGGCGGCCAGGGTGGAGGAGGCCCAGCCACCTTAAAGCTGAGCCCACTTGGCTCCTCAGAGAAGATGGCCAGGGACTCCGGGTACAGCACCAAGAGCCGATCCCACTGCTCCTGTGAAAGTCAGAGGACAGAGTGGGCTGGGGCACCCGGGCCCGGCCCTACCCCACTCCCGCACGCCACCTTCTCTTCTCTACATGTTTACTGGGCCATTTTAGGTACCCAATACGGGTACATTCCTCACTGGGATCCTGCACCTGTACGTGACGTCTCTTGGCTCTTATTTCCCCTTCCCCGGCTCTCCCTTCACCCCTCCACCCCTCCTTATTTACGGAGACTTTGTTTCCGTTGTTCCCTTTTCTCATATTTTTTCTTTTCCCTTCTTTCCTTTCCCTGGCTCTCCCACTTCCCTAGTCCTTTAGAGCTTTTCTTCCTATTTCCCAATATCAGGTATGCATTTTGATCCTCATTTACAGTTTTAGTTTTTCACACCAGAGGAACTGTTCAGCATTTACACACGTCTGTCCTACCCATTTCCCTTAGGAGTACGGCCGCAACGTGCATTCCTCACACCCACCTTGGAGGGCAGGTGCTGCAGTTTGACCCTTGAGGCACAGATGGCACCACCCAGTGGTTCTCGCCCTGATGCCCTCTGCAGTCGGCTCAGGCGGCCCTGGGGAGCCATCCAGGGAAGCTCGTTGCCCAGGGGTCCCTGAGGAACAAGAGGTCAGGGCAGCCAGGGAGGACCAGGATGGGGCAGGGATCTGGAGGCTCTTGGCACTGACCTGCGGGGGTGCTGTGTGGCAGTGCTGCAGTCCCCCCACCAGGGCCATCTGCTTCTCCAGGTGGTAGAGCCAGCTGCTGAGCTCAGCCTCGGTGGGGCAGAGAACGAGGATGGGGGCAGGCAGTGGGCCTGGGGCAAAAGAGAGAGCAGGCTGGGGGTGAGTCCAAGGAAGCCAACAGGGAGGCCCCTCTCAGAGGGCTGCGTGCAGACCTGGGGCCTGGATACGGAAGCACCTGCTGCACACCTGTGATCTGGAAGCCATGCTCTCTGGACCCCTCCAGTGGGCAGATGCTCAGGTCTGACAGTGGCAACAGCCCCTGCCAAAGCACAAGACAGGAAGGGCTGTGGAGTCCCAGGGACACAGCCAGCCTTCCCTCTGTGGACACTCCCCAACACACACCTGGAATGTGAGGCCGTCGGAGCCATGGGCCTGGAAGTAGAGGTGGGAGGGGAACAACTCCAGGAAACAGTCACTGACATCCTGTGGAAAAAGGGCTGCAGTCTGGGGTTCTGGGGTGCAGCCTGGGATGGCAGGAGGCTGGTCCTCCAAGCCTGTCACCTGGCCTGGATCCCCGGCTCCCACCTGGCTGTGCTGGAACCGCAGCTGCACCTTGGCGTAGTGCATGACCTTGCCCAGGTTCCTCACTGGTACCCGCCGACGCCCTTTCTTGAAGACACTCAGGAATGGCTGCTCTAGGCCTTCTGGCCGTCTCTCCGGGCCGGGGATGTCCTGGGGGAGTGGGACTCAGGGGAGGGGCCGATGGGGCCAGCAGCCTCAGTCAACACACACACAGGGCTGGTCTCTCCATGCACAGCCACAGGATGCAAGCATCAAGAGCACACACAGGCACAGGCCCTAGCACACCTACAGCCTTTTTCCCAGGGGAACACCTGTGGGCACATGTAGCTCCCCCACATTAGAGCTGCCCGGTCTAGTGGCAGACAGTGAGGCTGGGACTCAGTGGAGGCCACCCTTAGCTCCATCACCTCCTATGCTCTGCAGCCTTTTAGTTACTAACCTCACCAGATCTGGAGGAGCCTGGGGTGCTAGGCGGGGATAATGCTCAATACCTGGTTCTACAACAAACCAAAATGATGCAGAAATCAGAAAAGCAAAGGCCCTGATCTGTAACCTCTGCCAGCTTCTTTGGTGTACGTATTCTCATCACACTGAGCTACCAACATGTCATCCACGAACCCGGGGCCAGAAAAGCTGTCAGCCAGCTCTCCACAGCCCGTGCCAGCCACTCTGCTCCAGGCGGGCACTGCACCTGCCTTCACCCTGTTCACAGCAGAAGCCAAGGTCCTGCCGGGGCCGGGGAGGTCTCCAGGACCAGCCTTTCACCCACTTCTCTCCCCTTCTCTTCCCTCTGAATCAGGGACATGCTTGTCTCAGGACCTTCGCTCTTGCTCTTCCTTCTGCTGGGACCCTCAGTCTTAACTCCACTCCGCCCCTCGGGGCCTAGCCCAGATCTCCCCCATCTCTTCAGCACAGGCTCACTTGCTGTCTCTCTCAGTTGTTTGTCTCTCCCATGGGAATGGGGACAAATTGTTTGCTTCTTTGTTTCTTGCTCTGTCCCAGAGCCTAGGACAGGGCCTGGGATGTTCTGGGGATGGTGGGTAGCGCATGTTTGCTGAGGAGGGAAGGAGGGGCACCCTCCACGCATTTAGCCAACTCGGGCTCAGAGTCCTCCGTAAATGAGGGGTTTGAGGTCAGATTAGGGGACAGATAGGGGATGGGTGATAATGGGCTACACAAGGCTAAGTGGGGCAGGGTCACAGTGCCTCTGGGGGATGCCAAGGGCCACCTGCATGGGCTGTGTCCTGGCCAAGCTGAGCCACCTCTTGGGTAAGTCCAGGAATGTGAACAGACAAACACACAGCTGCCTGGCCTCCCTGCCTCCGGGTGAGGCCTCCTGCATCCACACCCAGTGTGGGAACTGACTCTGGGATGGCAGCTGTGAAAAATAGGCCACGAGGGCTGGGGATTTAGCTCAGTGGAGCCGCCACCTGCATCGCAAGCACAAGGTCCAGAGTTCGATCCCCGGTACCAAAAAAAAAAATGCCATGAATCAGGAAGGGCTATGCAGTTGGTCCTGCAGCCCAGGCTCAGCCCTGGGGCCCTGGTGAGGACTCAACTTGGAGATGTGCCAAGGCCAAGTCATTGCAGAGGTCCACAATCCACTACAGAGCTCAGGTGAAGGGCCCAGGGGAATGGCTCTACGCCTGGCCTCAGCAACCCCCCACCCACCCCGACCCCTGTGCCTCACTGAGCCCTGTCCCTTCTCCAGCTACTGTGTCTGGATGTCTGGGGAAAGGAGGAGCACTCGGGCCACCATGCCTCCGGGGACTTCCCCAGGGTCCTATTGCAGGAATGGGGCCCAAGCAGTCAGCGGCAGCATCTGAGATGGGGCCACCGGGAGGGACCCAACTGGGCCAGGCCAGCTACCCTCTTCCACCCACTTCTCTGAGGCAGCATGGTTTATGCGGCTGCCACTTGCCTATGGGGAGCCCTGGGACCTCAGAGAATGGAGGAGGGGATAGCACAGGTGTCCCAGCCTGGAGGAAACAGGCAGGAGAGGTGGGCTTTGAAGTCCATGCCAGCTGCCCCCAGGAGTGCAGGGTGAGAGCTCTGCCTGAGCTCCTGGCCCAGAGTCACATATGTTCTCCCTGTGTTCCTGGAGCCTGGGGTGCAGCAGAGCCCACCCGCCCTGGCCAGTATGGTTCCTCAGGAGAGGGCTGCAGTGGTCAGGGGGCTCCTGTCAGACCTCTCAGCCCAATGCCAGCATGTTGGGAAAAGGGCTGGGTCTCTCCCCCAGCTGGCCCTCAGTCCCAGGGGGGCTGGAGGTGGACAGGGCCTTGGGGCTGCTTCCTTGTTGTGTGGGGGACATGGTGGTGGCCACTGTAGAGGGCTGCTTTTTCTGATACCGACAGCAGCCGCCTGCAGGATACCCCAGGAAGACACTGAGGCTTGGCGTGGCTAACAGCCTGGCTCCCAACTGGGAGGCCCCACCCTGCCACCTGTGGAGCTGCTCGTGGCTGACTCAGTGCCTCTCAGTTTCGATCTCACCCAGACTTTCGGTAGATGAGCTCCGGGGTGTGGCAGTGTCCACTTCCTCACCTCACTTTGGATCTGAGTCCCGTCACCCCCGCCCAGGAGGACATGATGCACACACTGTCACACACACAGTCAGCCTAAGAGCCACAGCCACTCAGACCCCAAGCTCAGCCACACCGAGGCCGACACTCCAGAGGGCCACGCCCCTCTGCTCACCGTGCCAGGGATGTAGTAGAAGATCCTGTCAGCCGCTGCGTCCCCATCGGAGCCAGCCTCCACATCAAACAAGCCAGCCAGCTTCCTGGAGTTGTCTCCTCTGAGGACAAGGGAAAGGGGCTCATGGCACGGCGCTGAAACAGGTTGAGCCCCTGTGTCCGGATGGCTGAGGCCACGCCTCTCACCTCTTTCCCTTTAGTGAGGGCTTTCTGGAGAAGGACGCCCGGAGCCTCCTGGGGGCCTGGGGGACACACTGGCTGTTCCCCATGGGTGGCTGTGGCTGGCCCAGGCTGAGCTGCTTGCCGGTTTTGGGTCCTGCAGGACGCTCTTGCTCCCGCCTCCCCACGGCAGGCGGGGCTGTGGATGTTCTGCCCCAACCAGGGGCTGGGCAGGGAGGGGCCTTTTGGGGGAGGATTGGCCTGCTGGAGCCCAGACTTCCAGGGATGGCCTCTTTCCACACAGGGGCTGGCAGAGGTTGGGGCAGGAGGGAGAGGACATCTTCTCTGATGGGGACAACAGCCTCCACCTCAGCCTCGGGCCTAGACAGGAGGGGCCACTGGGCTCGGTCTGTGAGCCTGCTGCCTGTATCCAGGCCAGGAGTACCTGGGCACTGGAACTTGGTGAACCCAGGAACCCCTCCCCCTGAGTACACATCCTGTTTCCATAATTCCAGTTGGTCTCTGAGTCACCAGTGGTAGGGATGTGTCTACGACGCTCAGCTGCCATGGCATGGGGAAGGGGAAGCCAAGACCTTCCCCTAGCTCCTCTTAGCTGGGGTCAGTCCTCACCCAAGGATGAAGTCAGGGTCCCTAAGGCTTCACCAAATACAGGAAGGTGGCCACAGGCTTCCCAGGTGCCTAGCGTAGTGTTGGTGAGGTGGGGAGCTTGTATCCACTTGCACTCCCAACTCCAGAAGCTGGAGTGTGACAGGAGCCTCTGAGGACCAGGACAGCAGCCAACTGTGGCGGTCACAGGGAACACCACAGCCCGCCCCCCCCCCCCCCCCGGTGCTACATGCAGCCTTGCAGCTCTGACACTAACGCAGTAACTCAGCCCATGGGCCCTCTCCCTAGGCTGACAGGACCCTAGCTGTGCTGTGGCCCCACAAGGCAGCAGAAGGGGCCAGAGATGGACAGAGCCTCTGACCCATGCAGCCCGAGAAGCATGTTTATTGTTCAAGTTGGCTCATATTGCTGTGTGGGGTCTGAGTGCATATGTGTGCCCAGCCCCATGCAAGATCCAGAAAAGACACCAGCTGCAGACAAGACACACAAGAAGCCTGCTTTGTGCCCTTCCCAGGGACGGCCCTTGGCTGGGCCAGATAAGGGCACTGTGCAAAGCATGGGCTAGGGGTCTGCACCTGCTTGTGAAAGCCTCCAACCCCTTCCTGCTCCTAACCCTCCTGCAGGGAGTGTCCCTCATCACTCCTACTGGCCCGGGCAGGAAGTGGGAGGAAACTCTGGAGAGCAGCCATGCTTGGAGAGTAAACATACAAACTGGTAGCTACAGTGCTGCTTGTCCATCAATAAATAATCAGTTGATCAATAAATAAACGGCACACATACAAACAAACACGGAGGAATGAATGCAGACATGGACAGACGGTGCAGGACGTCCCTGGTGGGAGCTGTGGACCCTGTCTCCGGCATGCAGCCGGGGGACAAGGAGGTACAGGGGCACCCTGTGGGGCTTAAGGCATGTGGGGCCTCTTGCGGTCCGTACCGCAGGTCAGAGGCTGGTGGAGGACACGGAGAGCGTCGGTGAGGACGGCGGTGGGAAGTTGAGCAGCTCCAGCACTGCCACACCCACGCTGCTGCGCCGTGTGAACATGCAGGAGGCGGCCACCCATTTGTTGGTCCTCGGGTTGTACTTCTCAATGGAGTTGAGGCTGGAGCTGCCGTCGTTGCCCCCCACGGCATATAGCCATCCATCCATGGCCACCAAGTCGTGCGTGCTCCTGGGGGTGGGAGGACCACAGTGAGCCTGGGCAAGGACCAGGAGGGGAGCTGCCGGAGGGATGGGGCTCAAGCTGGGAGCCTGGGGTGGGGCCGGGCTGGGAGAACAGCTCCCCCCAGTGGCACACGCCCAGCACTGCCCTCTGTGGTGGCGGGAGCTGCCCACCGACCGCCCTGACTTCAGACCTGCGGATGTTCATGGGCGCCACGCTCTCCCAGGCCCCAGCCTTGGGGCTGTATCTCTCCACTGAGTTGAGACAGCTGGTGCCATCATTTCCCCCTGCCACGTACAGGGCGCCTTCTAGCACTGCCACGCCAGCAGAGCTTCGCCTGCTCAGCATGGAGGCCACGGGGGTCCATGAGTTCACCTGCAGTGGTGAGAGTGCAGGTTGGAGGCTGAGCCCACAAGGGCATCCCTCCCACTAAGAGCACCCACTTTGGGGCGGGACCACCCCCGGGAGCACTGGGGAGGGGTGGTCATCACTGGAGTGCGCTCTGCACCTGGGGCTCATACTTCTCCACAGTGGCCAGGTGTGAGGAGCTGTCATAGCCACCCACGGCATACAGGTTCCCATCTGCAGGAAGACAACACACCCTGGTGCTCCTGCTGGCTGTGGGGTGAGGGCAGGAAGAAGGGTGGACGCATAGAAAGCAGGCCCTGTTACCCACCGAGTGTGGCCACACGCACATAGCGCCTCCTGGTGCTCATGGCAGCAATGGATGTCCACGTTCCCGTCAGGGGGTCATAGCGTTCAGCACTGTGGGGACCAGATGGCTGCTGACCATCAGCCAGGAGAGAGAAGTCACCCTGCCCTGGGTCTGTCCTCCCAGGGAGTGGCTGAAACCCCCTGCTGGCACCACAAAACTCTGCCATCAGAGTCTTACCACAGCAGACAGCAAGGCTTGCGGGTTGGCACAGATCACATGGGCCTGCATGATCCTGCGCAAATGCCACCCTGAGGCCAGCCCCTGGACTGGAAGAGAGGGCTCCAGAGAAAAAAAGGGGCAGCAAAGAGCCTTGGCTTTGGTGCTGCTGTGGCCTGAGTGAAGAAGCCTTGGGGACCCTGTGGCCTGGGATAGGTGGAACTTATTCCTCCAGGCGGATGCGATAGCCTCGCTTCCTGCAGCTGAGCCACCCTGTGAGGCCACTGAGGCCTCAACCCCAGCTATTACCTGTTGAGGCAGGAGGCCCCGTCATAGCCGCCAGCCGCGTACAGAAGCCCGTGCAGGGCAGCTACACCCAGACAGCTTCGCCTTGTGCCCATGGACACCTCGGGCTGCCATGTATTGGTCACAGGGTCATATGACTCCGCAGTAGCCAGGTCTGAGGTCCCATCGTAGCTGGGAAAGGGTTCCATTACTGGTCACAGCTGGCCTAGCACCCATGTGCAGAGCCCCCACCCAAGAGTGACCTCTAGGCTTACCCGCCCACAGCGTACAGCCTGTTTCCAACAGCAGCCACTCCCACCCTGGCTCGACGTGTAGACATGGAAGCCACCACATGCCAGCGGTCAGTTCGGGTGTCATATGCTTCACAGTCCCCATGGATGGCAAATAGGCTCCCACCACCTGGTGAGGAGTCAAAGGGCAGGAGGGCCCCAGGTAGGCAACGAGTGGAAGAGACTCTAGAACAGCTGGAGGGCAAGGGCATGGGTGTCCACGATGAGAAGACACAGGGACTGGGTTACACTGGTGGCTCAGCCCTCACAGACCCTCGAGAGGCCCCTGGATGGAGGAGGAGGGCAGAGCAGAGCAGTACGAGCTGGGCTTGTGCTGGGTGCGGGGATGGAAAGCTCAGGGCAGCAACATGAAGGAGAAGGGGCCAGGTGGGCATACCCACGGCAAAGAGCACAGGGCCGGCACCCTCACAGCGCCGGGGCCGAGTGCGGCTGGTGCCTAGAACGCCCCTCTGCTCGGGCAGCAGGTGGAACTTGAGGGCCTCAATGAGCAGGTCTTTGCAGTCAGGATGATGGCGCACAAGGCTCTCAGCATCCACGTGGCCCAGCAGAAAGTCACGGCTCAGAAGGGGCAGCCGCACACACTTCATCAGCTGGCGCAGGGAGAGCCAAGGTCAGGGAGACCCCGAGGCACACTCCCTCCAGGGTGAGAGCCCCAGCTTGCAAGCCCACGTCATCTGCATGATGGGTTCTCCAAGTGGCTGCTCTTGCCCCCGCCTGCCGTGGGGTCCCTGACGGGAGAGGCCAGGGGCTCCATGAGGCACACCCAGGTCTCAGTCACCCGTGTCCCTCCCGACACCATGGGAACCTCAGGGCCTGGCCTCACCCGGGGGACGTGTTGCCTCCGAGTGTCCACATCGTGTTTAACCCAGCTCAGGACTGCGCGGTAAACGTCTTCCTCTGAAGGCACATTCAGGCTGTCGCTAGAGACCAATTCCAGCACCTGGAGGTGGGGGCCCTCAGACCTGAGACCTGGGGAGGGTCCTGTGTGCCCAGGGAGCCCTGAAAGTGCCTGGGAAGGAAGTTCCAGCCAGGGGCTCAGTGTTTCTACAGGGAGGGGCCGAGCCGGTCAGGAGGCACAGATTTGGTTTCCAGGGGAGCCTAAATCCAGTGGTCACAGTGGTGAAACACCAGGAAGTGGGGATTACTGGCAGGGACGTGTTGAGGACAGAACGGGGCAAAGGTCTGGTGGAATCAGGAAAGTTGGGGACAGGATCTCAGAGCCCTGGTAACGACATGGTGCGGATGGGGGCCCGGAGGTGGGCACAAGGGACATGAGGCTGGTTACCAGGGCTCTGTTGTCTGGGTTGGGGCTGGGGCATGGTTTGAGCTGCACCCCAGCTGGCACGTTACCTGCTTCAGTGGCAAGAGCATGAATTCCTCGGTCTTGGCCACGTCCACGAAGTGCTGCAGCACGTACCTGTGTGCTGCTTTGAGTAGGTCACTGCACGAGTGTGTGTCGGCAAAGCCCCGGATTCCCAGGCAGTTGGAGGGGTCCAGCTGACTCAGCAGAAACTTGCAGCACGCATCTCTGACACCGTTCAGCTGCAGAAGGCTGGCGGCAGGGAGCAGTGTCTGCAGCCATGGAAGTGAGGGTGAGGCAGAAGGGTGCAGGGGAAGCACAGAGGACCTGAGAGAGGTGGGGATGGCCTCTAGGGACAGGGCCCTGGGAAGACTAAGGAGACTGCCTTAGAGGGTGGCAGCAGCCTCACCTGCACATTGCCCTCGCCCACCACAATCTCAGCTGTGTATGCAAACTGCACCAGTTGATCCAAGGCCTGAGGGTCGATGTCATGCAGTGTCACATGTGTTTGGCGGCTCTCACTCATCTCATCTGCGGGGACAAGAGAACGGGTCAGGTCGGTATCCGCCTGCAGGCTGTAGGAAGCCCTGTGTGCCGCCCGAACAAGTACTTGCTTGTGAACATGGCGTGGAAGTAGGGGCTGCAGGAGGCCAGCACCACCTTGTGTGCACGGATCTCCTTGGCGGCCACGTGCAGGACGATGTCACACAGGAGGCCGCGCTGCCGCATGCGGCTCATGGCTACGAAGGCGTCGTGGTAGTGCCGCTTGGAGTTGTGGGCCACACTGTGGCCCTCCCGGCTCAGCAGCTGCATGGCTCCCTCCATGGGGGCTGGGGGCCGGGCCTGCCTGGGCCTGGCACGCTCTGCCTCGGGGCTGCAGGCAGGCAGGGCCAGGTCAAGTGTGCTCTCCAGAGCAGCTCACCTCACCCTTTCGACCTCTGGATGTAGCCAAGGCGGCCAGGGGGCAGCCATCGCTCCAGCCGTCCCAGCGCACGGCCAGCAGCCCATGCCCTTCTCCATCGCGGACACCTTGTCGCTGACCCCACCCTCTCATTCAGGACTTCCTCTTCTTCAAACCCTCTCCCAACTGGTGGAGCCGGGACCTGGCGCCCTGAGCCCTGGTGACCTGTCCAGCCTCTCTGCCCACTGCAGGCCCCATTCGACGCGTGCTCCCACCCCGCTGTCCCCAGCGCGTAGCGGGCCTCGGACCCCACTCCGCCCGCACCGCCCAGCGCCTCATTCTGAGGGTGGACACCAGGCGGCGGGAGGGGCCGGCCCTCCCGGACCGCAGGCTCGGGCTGCGTGGCGCCCGCGGCGGCAGCTGGGCACCCTCGCCAGTCCCTCCGCTCATCCGCCCGCTTCTCGGCCCCACTCACGCGGGCGGCGGCGGTGGCGGCGGCGGCGCCTCGGGCCCGGGCCCCGGGCTGCCGTGCTCCGGGCTCTGCGTCCTGCCGGCCGGGCGCTCGCCGCGCGGCTGCATTACCTCGGGAGTCCGACCCTCCGCCAAGCCGCGGGGCGCAGGAGGAGCGATGCACCGCCGGGCGGAGGGGTGCTCCGCGGCCAGTCCGCGTCGCGCTCCCGCCTCTCTCAGCCGCTGTTTCTCGGCGCCGCCCGCTCCGCCTCCGGGACCCGCGTCCCTCCCCCGCCTACCCCAGACGGCTCGCACCGCTCAGTCTGCCGCTCCAGACCTCGCGCTGGGCACTGCTGGCCGTAGGATCGGCGGTCCAGACCCGAGGGCCTTCAGGGTCTCTCTCGAACGGGCTCGGAACCTGGCTCTTTGGGCGGCAGGGGAGCGCGGGGCTCTACACTCACGGTGTGGCCCTGCCCAGGAGATATCAGAGGAGGCCAGCCTGGCTACCAGGCGTTGGATCTTTGGCGAACTTCCTGCGTAACGTCATGGGCTGCGTTTCTGTCTTCCCCACGAGACCCTGATCTTGTCCTTATTGATTTGTGAGCAATCTTTGTATAGCACTTCCTGTTGTTGAACGTTTGGTTTGTTTCTTGTCACTGCTATGCATCAGGGCTGGGCGGGACGCCCTGGCCTCGTTTCCCCAGGTGGGAACCGTTATTACGGCGTCTTACAGAGCCGCGAGCGGCCGTCTGGCCCACGTAGGGCGAATGAGTGCTGGGGCTGTAAGGATCTCGCCAACCAAACTGAGGGTGCGAACTTGCCCTCCCGCCTGGACACTGCCGGCCCGCGGTCGGAGATCCCTAGAGCCATCTGGTGTGGGCGGGGAGGGGCGGGGAAAGGGGCGGGAGGGGGCCGGCCCGGAGGAGGTGCTGCGAGCGCTTGGCATTCTGGGGCCGGAAGTGTGGCGCACATTGCGCTCTCGACGTCATGGCGGCGCGTGGCCGAAAGAGGTTTGTGTGCCCCATGGCCCTGCGGTCCTCCCGGTGGGCTCCTGTATTCTGGGGCTTTTCCTCGCCCCCCTACCGGGGCGGGGGCTAGCGGGCTGATGGGTAGCTGTGACTCCACTGTGACCCGCAGGCGCCTGGCGGAGTTGACGGTGGACGAGTTTCTTGCTTCGGGTTTTGATTCCGAGTCGGAGTCGGAGCCTGAAGGAGCTCCGGAGGCGGCGATACCCGGAACCCACGAACGCGGAACTGCCTGGAACTCGTGTGGGCCGGACCGGGGCGCCACGGCTAGGTGAGCGGGCGTCTCTTCCTCAGGCTCTTGGCCCGGGTCGATCGCGGGTGGCCGCTCGCGGCCCCTCCGCTCAAGGGTAGGCCTTTTCTGGAGGTGGATAATGGAGAAGACCGCTTCTGACCCAGGAGACCTCACTCAGCCTTGTGTAAATCAGTGTGTACCATGTTAGGAGGTGAGTGTCATGGTCGGCGTGATAAAACGGAAGAGACTGGAGTGAGAGTTGCTCGTCACGTTAAAGGGGGCAGAAGAGGTGTGGGAGGGCGACGCTGGATGAGGATGCGAGGGATCCAGCAGTGCAGGCAGCAGAGCAGGAGCAGTAAGGTCCTTGAGGTAAACAAGGAGGCGGGTCGTGAAGGAGATGTACCAGGAGAGGGGGCTAGAGGCCAGGTCCACAGACGATCTTCTGGTAGGGTGGCAAGTCACCTTGGAGCTTGAGCAGGTAAAAAGAGTCACTTCGGTTGCTGTGCCGAGAAGGGTTGTAAGTGGACCAGAGGCAGTTAAAGAATTGAGAGACGTGGTGGTATGAGAAGAGGCATGTGTAGCTTTGAAGGTGTTGCTGATGTGCACTAATGGCAAGTTCCTGCAGCTGGGATAGAGCATGGTTTGGGTACAGCAGGACTGGAGAGAGCAAAGGTGGAGAGCGTGTGTTGAGTTGAGATGCATTTGTTTAAGCATTGTCTAGAGGCTAGTCTTGAAGAGATGAGCCTGCTGAAAACTTAATCACCTGTGAATCTCCTTGTCTAGTTGTTGGCTGAGGGAGTGGACTAACCATGTCTGAGGACACCAGCATGTTGGAGCTGTCTCCTCGTGTCCTGTTTTCCTGGGGCGTTTACTGACCACCCCCCCCCCCGCCCCCCTTAGCAGGCATAAAGGCCGTGCCTCTGAGCACAAAGACCAGCTCTCTCGGCTGAAGGACAAAGACCCTGAGTTCTACAAGTTCCTGCAGGAGAATGACCAGAGCCTACTGAATTTCAGTGACTCAGATAGCTCTGAGGAGGGAGACGAGCAGTTCCACTCTCTGCCGGATGCACTGGAGGTGAGGCCTGGGAAGACCTGGGCAATGGGCATTGTGCCTGTTACACCCTGGCCCAGCTTGGCCCTTCTGTGTCTGGTGCAGGAAGCAAGTGAAGAGGATGATGGAGGGGAGGATGGAGACAGAGTGCCCAGAGGACTGCAGGGGAAGAAGAATGAATCTACTCCTGTGACCCTTGGCATGGTTGAGCAGTGGAAGCAGGCAGCAAAGGTGAGAGAAAATCTCCTTCCCCCAGAATCTCTGCCTTTGTCCCATTTGTGGTATCCATAGCTCTCCAGGTAAGAAGATCTTTCTCTGAGCAGCAGCAAATAATCCTGTGTATTCTTTTTTTTTTTTCTTTTTCTTTTAAAGGTGGAAAGGTTTATTTGACTTACAGTTCATAGAGGTTTCAGTCCATAATCAGCTGCCTCCAAGGCAGGATGACAGAGGGACAACAGTTGATGGCAGACAGACAATAACAAAGCAACAAGCTCATGTGTATACTTTTTGAGTACTAGACTACCCAGAAAGCATCCTCTCCTTTAGTCAAGAGTTCAGGGGCTCTGCCTGCTCCTTTGAAGTCAGGCCACTGTGTTGGGCATAGTGTTTGTGTCTTAATGTTCTCTATTTCTGTGTTGGAATGCTATAGGCAAAGTAATTTGCAAAGAAAATATATTTATTTGACTTGTAGTTGTTGAGCCTGGTAAATCCAGGAGCATGGTGCTTCACCTGGTGAAGGTTCTGTGCTGTGTATCAATACAGCAAGAGTACTGTCTCTCTCTCTCTCTTTTTTTTTTCTGCTGGTGCTGGGAACCAAACCCAAGGTCCCACATATGCTAGGCAAGCAGTCTACCAGTGAGGTTCACACCTAGACCTAACTTTTCCACTTATGTAGCCACTGATGCCATCATAGGTATTCCATACTTACGATCTTATCTAGTCCTAATTATTTCTCAAGAACTTCACTGCTAACTGCCATCAATATATAATTTGGGGAGCTGGGGATTTAGCTCAGTGGTTTCACCGCCTGCTGCCCAAGGGTAAGGACCTGGGTTCGATCCCCAGTTCCAAAAATGTGTATATATATATATGGAGAGATCTCCAGATACCATTTAGAATTGGCCATGGTCCTTGATCCAGACTCTTAGTCCTTTCCCCTGGGGCTCCTGAGGCAGACTTCATGTGCTTCCAGAGTGATTAGAACTTGTCTCCATTTTTGTTGCTGATGCATGCCTCAGTGACTGTGCCCCCACCTCTGCACTGTATTTGAGATTGTGGGTAAGAGGCTCCTCATTGAGTAGGGTCTTGGCCCTAACCAGTTCTTGTGCTTCCCTTTGTGGCCGGCTGCACCCTCAGCGTTCTTGGTCTCTTGCCCTTTTAGCAGCATCTCACTGCCAAGCTGTTTCATGAAGTTGTGCAGGCGTTCCGAGCTGCTGTGGCCACCACCCAGGGAGACCAGGAAGGGGCTGAGGACTGCAGATTCCAGGTCTCAGACAGTGCTGGTGAGTAGAGACCAGGGACCTGGGTCAGGCTTGGCTGCATGTTCTGTCCCGTCAATGACATCTGTATCTTTTTCTTGCAGTGTTCAATGCACTGGTTACCTTCTGTGTCAGAGACCTCTTTGGCTACCTCCAGAAGCAGCTGTTTGGAAAGGCACCAATAGACAGCAACAGGTGAGAGGGTGGATAGGATCAGGCTTGCTCTGCAGGAGGGGCACAGGCTTGCAGGCCTCTGAGAGGTCAGGGGCATGAAGGGCTCTTTGTGGGGGTAGCACTCAGGCCAGTTGGAGTGGGCCTAATTTCTCCCTTCTAGGAAAGAAATTCTCTGGGTAGGATTTCTTGGGAGCTTGGTATGGGCTTGTTATTGGTCTTGACTTTCCTAAGCCCAGGCTTATGCTCTCCTTCCACTGTGGACATGAGTCCTGTCCATGCTCCTTGACATCTGTTTGGCCTGTTTGTGAGAAGTGTGTGTGCATATAGGCAGGAGCCTGGTTGGTTCTGGGACAGAGGATGTGGAAGGTCTTGAGCAAAGCACAGCAAAGTGACTGTACAGTGAGGGGCATGGTGAGGCTGGGAGACTGAGCCGCCTTGTGATCTTGAAGCAGTAAGGGTCTGGAGAGTTGAACTTGCCTCAGGGATACCTTTCAAAGGAAGCGGAGGTGATGTTAGCACTTGGAGGTGAGGTGGGGAGATGGCAGCAGAAGGGCCCCTGCCCTTGTTTCTTGCAGCTTTTCAGCAGATTTCAGCGAGCAGCTAGTATGGGACTCAACCGCAGACACTCAGGCACAGTTGCCAGGTGTTCAGTGTTTGGCATGGCTAAAGGTCTGGGGTTCTAAGTGAAACTGAGTTTATAGATGCGCATGGCTGGGTATATGGTACATGTGAACCAAAGACACCAGCCAGCAGTAATGAGTGGGACATGGTTTGGCCCCAGAGGCTGGCTGCAGAGTTCAGGTGCAACGCTTAACGGGGCCCAGAAGAAGGTCACGTCTGAGAGAGGTGACTGGGCCTGGGAGTCCTTCAGGGAGGCTGGGAGTCAGGACAGTGGGGCAGTAGCCCTGTGGTTCAGCCACAGGCATGGCTGTGATGGGGCCACTGCTGTTTCCTGTAGGCCTGGGTCTGTAGCACCATCGAGAAGTTTTTATGAGCTCCTGTGTTTGCCAGCTGTGGAACTCTAAGCTTTTTGTGGAGAGAGTTGGGAATCTGCTCTGGTGTTTGAGGTGCTGGGCAGGGTGTGAATAGGCTGAGAATAGGCTGAGGCAGTCTCAGTTTCTGCAGGGTGCTGCAGCCGTCCAGCAGTGCGCTCTGGGGGAAGTTCCGTGTGGATGTCAAGGCATACCTGAGTGCGCTCATGCAGGTACTGTTCTGGCGGGAGTGGAGGGCAGGCATGAGAGCCTTTGTCACAGGCAAGGGGCTGCCATGTCCCATGGTCCAGTGTTTCTTTGTGCCTGACTCAGGAGGTGAGTTTGGGGCCTCATTATTTCCCCTGCTTCCTTAGCTGGTGACCTGTCTGGCAGAAGCCGTGGTGTTGGCAGCAGTCCTGCGGCATGTCAACAGCCTGGTACCCTACTACCTGACCTTCCCCAAGCAGTGCCGTGTGCTGCTCAAGGTGGGCACTCCTCCCCTGTGTGTGCTGTGGTGAGTTCCCCACTGACTGCTCTCTTCCCGTGGATTGGTTCAGGGACTTGAGGAGAGGTCCCTTGGAGACAACATGTGTACTGGCATCTCAGGGTTAGAACATGTGATTCTCATTTTGACCTCAGTGTGTTGGTACATGTGCCTGACAGTCAAGGCAGGGTCTCACGGTTCTGTCTTCACGGAGTATAAGGTGCTTTGTTCTGCACTTTGATTTTTCTCTGTTATACTCACAACTTTTCTCTGAAGCAGAAACGGCTGTTGCCCAGCAGGTGATCATAGGAACTTTTGACCTGGCTTGAGAGGGTTGTGGTGGCCCTGGCAGGGTCCTGGGTAAGGGGGCTGGGAGAAGCAGTGATGTGTCCTCTCCTTAGAGGATGGTGATTCTGTGGAGCACTGGTGAGGAGTCCCTGCGGGTGTTGGCCTTCCTGGTCCTTGTTAGAGTTTGTCGACAGAAGAAGGACATTTTCCTGAGTCCTGTCCTGAAGGTACACATCTCTCTGTCAGTGTTAGTGCTGGGAATCATCCTGGGGGCCTAGCAGGTTGCCTTTGTGGCTGTGCCCTTGCTGGTCCCTGGCACTGTGGCTCTGGGCAGATCAGGGCCTTTAGGTCATGGTGTCCTCACCAGGAGGTTGGGGTTGGTAATGGGAATAGGAGCCCTGCAACTTCCTGGGCTCTATCTGGACTTTAGCTCTCCCTGATGGAGACTTCTCTTTCTGGACAAGGACATTGTAGATGGAGAATAGAAGCAAGTCTGAAGTCACAGCCGAGATCCAAACCTTCCTGCCTGGCTCCAGACCCAGGGTGGCCCAACCAATCACAGGGCTTCTGGAACCCCCTCCTAGGCCTTTGATAGTCTTCTTGCCTCTTTATCAGCTCACCCCTCCCTTACTATGTACCTTTCTTGTTAGACCCCCTCTGCACAGCTTAGGGTGTGTCCCTGGGGCTGGTGGGTACACTGGTTGGACACAGGCATGCAGACTGAGCAGCCTTGGAGGCCTGAGTTGGGGGATGTGAGGGTGTGGTCCCTGTGTGGGGCAGCAGGTCTGAGGGGAAGCCAGGGGTTGGCAGATGGCTTGGAGCATCTGGGCAGTGGGAGCTCAGATGGCCCTGACTGGGGTCTCTGCGGCAGCAAATGTACATCATGTATGTGAAGAATTGCAAGTTCACCTCTGCCAGCACCCTGCCCCTCATCAGCTTCATGCAGCGAACGCTGACCGAGCTGCTTGCCCTGGATCCCAGCATCTCCTACCAGCATGCCTTCCTCTACATCCGCCAGCTCGCCATCCACCTGCGCAACGCCATGACCACTGGCAAGAAGGTGCCCAGCCCGGCCTTGCACCTTGGTGGGGGCTGTGGGTGGGGTAGGCACACAGTGCTGCTGGCAGGGAGCTGGGCCTCAGTGTGGGATTCACTCTGACCAGGAGACACACCAGTCGGTATACAACTGGCAGTACATCCACTGCCTCTACCTGTGGTGCCGCGTCCTGAGTGTCCTCGGCTCCAGTGAGGCCCTGCAGCCCCTGCTTTATCCTCTTGCGCAGGTTGCCATTGGCTGTATCAAGTGAGTCCAGGGTGGGGCTGCACAGGCCTGGGAGGTGAGGACTGTGGGCAGTGCCCTGTCTGGCTATGTCGGCAGTCCTGGGGCAGGGCCTAGGGTCCTCAGGCATGGGATTGGAAGAGGGACCAGATTCATGGGCATTTTGTGTCCTGTGAAGTGGTTAGCTGCACATGACGCAGGACTCATACTCTGTCCATGGGTCCTGTCTGCCACTGAAAGGGCATTCTGGTCTATTAGCCTGGGATTCTAGTCCGGTGTAGGGTAAAGTGCTGTGTGCCTTTCTGGCCAGCAGGGGGTGTCTGTCTCCCTGAAAGGGCATTTGCTTGAACCTTGGATACTAGCCTGGGAAGTGAGGCTGGCGGTTCAAGGGAAGACTCCCCAAAATCAAGGATTGGGAAAAAAAGAGAGACAGAAATGAATCCTGCCCACATTAGAATGAAACTGAGTTAGAACCTGTATTGGGTTTGGTCCCTAGTATTGCCAAAAGAAAGTTGGGTGTCCCTCCAGCCCTGTAGTGGAGCAAGGAGGCCAGTCCTTAGGCCAGGACATGAGTTGAGGTGCTCTTCTGTGCCCTGTTCTCTTTGGGGAATGTGGTGCTGCCTGCTGTGGATAGGGTGGCTACTCCCCAGGAAGAGTGCCAGGCCTCCTGCAGCTGCAGCCCTGTGAGGGGTGAGGTTTGGAGGCAGCGGGGCAGCCAAGGCTGCGCTCAGTGGCAGGCTGCTCAAACCTGGCCTCTACCCCTTCTGGCCTTCCCTGCCACAGGCTGGTCCCCACTGCTCGCTTCTACCCACTGCGCATGCACTGTGTACGTGCCCTGACGCTGCTGTCACAGAGCACTGGCATCTTCATTCCCGTGCTGCCCTTCATTCTTGAGGTAAGTACGTTACACACTGTCTGGGGTGGGGGGTCGACTGGCTCCAAGTCTGCTGCAAGGTGTCCACGGGACAGCCCTGAATTTGTCATTTTTCCCGTCTGGGGTGTGAGTTTATGAGCATGTGCTACTTAGCACTGTCTCCTGTCTACGCTGATCGAGTGTCTGTCACTCATGTGTTCCCAGGGGTAGTCCGAGGCTGCAGGCTGTGCAGCCAGGGAGCTGACCAATCATGTAGGTGCCTGCTCAGGATCGGAGTGAGCAGTGAGCAGGAGAGCTGGGTCTGAAGTGTGCATGGGCTGCTGAGTGCTGCTGGGCTGGGGAAAGGGTGGAGTGCAAGTTACATCAGAACTCGCCACCTCCACGTGTGCCCTCCTCTGCCATGTCAGGGTGAAAAGAAAGCCCGGAAAGATCCCATTCCCCTTCCACTGAGCAGGTTGCCACGGATTTGTACCTGGCGAAAACCCTTTGGACATCACCTGTCTCAGAGAGTCAGTGCCAGCCCTTGCCCCCCTTCTGTGACAGCACTCCTCTACAGGTCTCCTGCCCTGCCGGCGGGTCTGGTCCTGCCTCCCCAGGTCTCACCCTCCTGTGGCGTCTTTCCCTTTGCGTGTGTGTGTGTGTGTCTGTCGTGTATATTGGGGGGTGTTTGTACTGGGGATCGAGTAAGGCGTCCACTGAGATGGGGACCCCACTAAAGTTGCCCAGGCTGCATTCAAACTCACAATCCCCCTGCCTCAGCCTCCCCCAAATGCTGGGATTACAAGGTTGCACCACCACACCCTGCACACCTTTCCCTTTTTTCCTTCACTTAGAATAGTTCTCTGCTGCCCTTGCCTTGGCTCACTGTGCCGTGTCTAGCAGGGTTTTCCTACACCCGGGTGCAGACGTCTCTGAGAAAGCAGGCCAAAGCTGAAGCAAAACTCCCTGCTGGGCGTTGCTGCTCTGCCTCGATGGGTGGACAAGAAGGAGACGTTGAGTCAGCCCCCACCCAGCTCTCTGCCCAGGCTAGAGACAGTGCATCCCTCCCTGCCCTTTAGGGGACCATTTCTTTGCTAGTCACTGCTGCCCAGCACCTGCCCTGCTGTATTAGTTCTCCCACCACTCTGCACATGTCTTGGACCTCTCTGCTTCACCAGTGCTGGTGTGGAGTTCACCAGGTCAAGAGGCCAGGTGCCCACTCCCTCCCCTTCTTGGGAAAGTTGAGATGCCCAGCCTGTGTTGTCTGGAGGGCATAGAAGCCTCCAGGCCCTTGTCTGAGACACCCTCTCTCATGTCCCTGCACACAGTGTTCATTTGTTACAGTGACGTCCTCCCAGCACCCAGCATGTAGTTGTGCTTGGCCTCAGTGTGGAGGGAGGAGTGAGCAGTGGGCCCTGTACAGAGGATCACTTCTTGGCCTCCCCGTGCCGGTCCTCATAGCCTCCCTGTCTTGGAGGGAGGCTCAGGAACACTGCTGTATCCACCAGGGTGGTACTCTAGGGTGAAGGAGCCAGAGCTCTGGGAGACAGGACCTGGAGGGGCCTCTCCTGCATCTTCCCACTCGCTTCTGGTGAGGTTTGAGGATAGGCTGGGTAACATACCCTGGGGACAGATTTTCCAGCAGGTGGACTTCAACAAGCGACCAGGCCGGATAAGCTCCAGGCCCATCAACTTCTCTGTGATCCTGAAGCTGTCCAGTGCCAACCTACAAGAGAAGGCCTACCGGGTGAGGTGGGCCTCCAGGCCCAGGAAGAGCCCATGGCTGTGTTCGGGTGGGGCTGAGATGGACAGGAGAGACCTGTGGGCTTCAGGCCAGGGACAGGGACTCCTTAATCCCAGCTCCTGGGAGTTTTGAGTGTGGCTTCTGGAGGAGCGGGTTTGGCACTTTCTTGGGGTCCCTTCCCTGGAGAGTGAGTGGACCCATCAGCCTGAAGTCAGAGGCCTTGAGCACCTGTGTCTGATCCCCTGATGAGCTTAGTTCTGTCCTGCTGCCTCAGGATGGCTTGGTAGAGCAGCTGTACGACCTCATCCTGGAATACCTGAATGGCCAGGCCCACAGCATTGCCTTCCCAGAGCTGGTGCTGCCCACTGTTCTGCAGGTATATTCCTGTTGCCTGGTTCTTCTTATACCACAAGCACAGGGCAAAGGGAGGTGTCCTGGTTGTCACACAGGGCCAACAGTAGAGCCCAAGCAGCTCCACACTGGATTCCCTAGGGCCACAGTGTAATGATGATGACCACAGGGATATGGGACCTTTGGGGGGCTTTTTCCTCAGGGCCATGGAGTTGGCTTTGGGGGAGGGAGTATCAGCCATGCAGGTTGGGTTGGATCTGGGTGACTCATTGGCTTTCCAGGCTGAGCCTGCTGTGGCTTAGAAGTCTATCCTGACAGGGCTGATCCCCTGCTGTTTTCCCAGGTGGTCCTGAGGGTGGGTTGGGGATTCTCTCTTGGAAGTTCCCTCTGTGCCCATGAGCATCTGCTTGCTCTCAGCTCCCAGGTAGGCCTGCACCTCTCACAGGAGGAGGCACAGCTGTTCCCATCTGGCCCTGGAAGGTGGATCAGCTCTGCTAGTCACAGGCAGGCTGGGCTACTGCTCACACCTGTGCTATACCTGGCTCAGGCCCATCCAGACAGGTGTGTGTGCAAGGCAGTGGTTGCACACCTATAACTGCACACATGCTGAGTCAGTCACACCTGGAGTGTGGCAGTTGCCTCTCCTTCCTGTGTTTTCTTGGGTGGTGATGCCTGGCAGTCAGGGTCCTGGGATTGCAGCCCTAGAGTAGGAATTGGCTTTTTTTTTTTTTTTTTTGGTAAAGTGCTAAACAGTAAACATGTACTTGAGGTTTTACAGGTTATGTGGTTTATCACAGCTGTTCTCTGCTTGTCTCTGCCCATAGTGCAAAAGCAGCTGAGAAGCAAATGGATACTGTGTGCGGTGGAGCTTTATTTACTAGACAGGCAGTGGATAGGGCAGGGCCTTTGGTGGGGGCTGATTTGCCCCCTCGGCCTGACCACCCATTTGTGCACCATTGGTTCTGAAATAGATTTCTGTTGTGGGTCCTGGGCTTTGGGTGTAAAGCAGTCCTGTTTGGGAGTTAGCTGAGCCCCCTTCCTTCTGCAGCTGAAGTCCTTCCTCCGGGAGTGCAAGGTGGCTAACTATTGCCGGCAGGTGCGCCAGCTACTGGAAAAAGTGCAGGAGAACGCAGAGTACATCCGAAGCCGCCGCCAGAAAGTGTCTTTTGGAGTGTCTGACCGGCATGCAGTGGTCAGTCGGGAGCTCATCTGGACAGGGATGGGGAGGGTGCGCCCTGAGAGCACCGGTTCAGGTGTGGCTGGGGTGGGTGTGATGCTGTGCCCAGCGTAGAGCGTGACCCTGGCCTGCCCAAACCCTCAGGATGCTTGGGAGAAACAGGCCCGGCAAGAGGGCACCACACTTAGCAGGTACTACAGCCACTGGCGGAAGCTGAGGGACCGAGAGATCCAGCTGGAGATCAGTGGCAAAGAGCGGGTATGGCGGGGATTGGGCGGGCTGGGCGGGCCATCTGCACTCAGATCTTGCACACTGGTGTGACTTAAGACCAGGCAGGGGAGATGGTGATTTTCCCCGTAGTTTGGGAGCCAAGGATGGCTTCAGCGGGGTGGGGCAGCGTTATGATTGGCTGACAGTGAACCCAGACTCAGCTTGGAGAGGCTGTCAGGTGTCATGAAGATCTGGCTAGAATTAGGGGGCTTCTCACTAAACCCCAGCTGCACTGGAGTGGAGGCCCCTCCCCCGGCTTATACCTGATAGGCTGAGGGTTTAAGGAGCAGTGTCACCCAGGCCATTCTATAGGCTCCAGGAAGGCGGGCGGACTTTTACCTTTGACTGGGCCTGGCCCTGGTGTAGAGTGACCTGAGGGACAGCTCCCTCCTCAGTACCATGTATAGGTGCACTGTTGGACCTGGCACAAGGCTGCCTAGTAGAAAAGCGGCCAAGCAGAGCCTTCATAGGGCTGGGGATGTAGCTCAGTAGTAAGCGCAAGGTCCTGAGTTTAACCCCCTGTACCGGAAAAACAAAAACAGCCCTCATGACGGGCTGGGCTGGAAGGTTTTAAGAGGGCCACTGGGGAAGGGAAGAATGGGATGTGGGGTTTGGGTAAAGCCTGGCGGCCGCTGTCCACCAACAAACCTGCTGTAGGACCTGGCTCATGGGGCTGTGGCTGAGCTGCGGTGGAAAGTACAGTAGCTCTACCCACCCTCTCTGCTGTACTGGTTTATTCTCCAGCTAGAAGAGCTGAATTTCCCGGAGATCCAGCGGCGGCGGAAGGTGGAGGACAGGAAGGAGGAGGACAGAAAGGAGTTCAGAGACCTATTTGACCTGGATAGTTCTGAGGATGAGGCAGCCACAGACTTCTCAGAAAGAGGTGGGCCTGTTCCACCTCAGCATGTACTCCTGCAGAGGGCCAGGCATGAGGGGGGCCCACATGTACCCTGGTGGGGCAGACCAGTTTGTGTGTCTTAGCCACTGGCTCCTCCTTTCCCTTTGAGGTGAGGGTCTCCCTGGGATTGAGCAGGCCCTTCCTTAACTATGTCTTATTCTCCACCTGTGTGTAGAGGTGTGGTCCTATTGCTCCAGCCCAGACCTGTGGCCCTGATGGGTGTCCAGGCAGGGCTTCCAGCCTGGCCCTCCCTCCTGCTTAGCCACACCCACCATGCCTTTGCTGGTGGGCCCAGGATGGGGGAGTCATGAACATGGACTCTTCTTGGTCCTCAGGGACAGCTGGGTCCCTGAGAGGTCAGCAGGAGGCAGAAGAAGAGGGAGATGACCAGAAAGACGAGGAGGAAGAGGACAGTGGCGCCTCTGAGGGTGAGTGGTTCCAGAGCTGGGCCTGGAGTCCATCTGGCAGCTGGTTGCAGTAGGGTGGCTCTAAGCCAGGCCCGTGCTCCTCCCTGGGGTGGCAAGCCAGCTGTTCTGTTCTCAGGGGCTCTAGCAGCTAGCTATAGCTGCACCAATAAATTAATTAGTGCTGTGATTAATTAGTGATGAGTAACCTCCAAGACTGGCTTCTTCCTGATAAAGCGGAATTTATGTAGCCTCATCTCTCTTTGCAGATGGAGGCCCAGATGCAGAGGCGGGGCTGGTCCCTGGCGAGCTGTGGCGGCTGGCTGAGGGGCCGCAGGATGAGCTGGAGGATCTGCAGCTCTCAGAGGAGGACTAGGGGCTCCTGCAGTGCCCCTGATTCCAGTGCCTGTGCAGCCTGAAGGGCAGTCAGCAGGTACAGCATGGCAGACCAGATAGTGAGAACTGTGCTGAGCTGCTGCCCAGATGAAGACCAGAGTTCCTCCCAGGCTGAGGGCAAGCTCCCTGGCCTGTCTCCTCCTTTGTCTTTGGTTTGTCTGCAGATCTCTGCAGTTACCCCAATCTTTGGAAACTTGTTCTTCTGCAGTCACACATTTTTCCTTTTAAAAATTCTTGGTATTTTTGCATCCAAAAACAAAAGGAACAAAATGCCTGAGGGAGGTAGGGCCACATGGAGCTGGGGAAGTGCTGGTGGCCCACCTGCCTGCTCAGCACAGAGGTTGGGAAGGGTCGGGGGCCCCAGGGGCCAGAGCCAGGGTCGAGGTTCCATTCTCCTGCTTGGGCGAGGCTCGGCCAGCAATGGGGTGGCTCTCCCCATAGGGGGAAGTGACTGTTGGTGACTGTTCTCCTGGGGTGAGCTCCGCAGGACCCCGAAGGGTTGGTGGCTGCAGCGGCAGAGCCACTGGGAAGCTGGCCATGTAGAAAACACGACCCAGGCGCTTGGCCACCTACAAAGAGACGAGCCTGGATCGGTGCCTGCTGGGAAGGGACTTGTGGGGCTGTCCTGCGGGCACAAAGCCTTTGTCCCCACCATCAACTGGAGCCCATGTCATGCTCACCTGGGCCCGGATCTTGAGGGCAGGCCCCAGCTTCAGTCCCATGGTGGTCAGCAGGTGCTCTTCAGTCAGCAGAGGCAGAGTCTCCCCATCGATTCCTTGTTCTCTGAACACCTGGGTGGGAAGGGTCTTGGTCAGCCCAGCAAGGGCCCCAGAACAGAGCCGGCTGCAGCTTTTAGGAGGGAGTCACAGGGAAGCAAAGCCCCTTCCGTGGGGCGTGAGTGAGCTGTGGGAAAGCAGGGCATGGGCTGGGGGCTTCGGGAGGGGACCCAGCAACCCCGCCTGGCCCCAGGGCCCAGCCACTCCCTCACCCGAGTATACTCGCTGCAGCCAGACAGGGCCCCCACGAAGTTGCAGACATCGTCCACTGTCCACTTGCTGATGTCCTCAGGAGCCGTGGCTGCCTCCCCGTCGAAGAGCCTCCCCGTGGCTCCTAGATAGGCAGGCAGGTGTCAGGAGAGCTTTGGCCCTGCCCTTCCCAGTCCCACCCCTCTGCCGACCCTCACTTGGCCGTATTAAGAGGAAACGGTTTTTCTTCCCAAATGAGCCGCCCATAGAACTCCCCTGGATAGCCAGGGTGAGCTCCGGAGCAAGAGACTCGATGCTTGTGGGTGCCCACCTGTGTGCAGGTAGGGGCTAACCGCATAGGGGAAGCCCAGGGGCAGGGGTGGAGGCAGGGTGGGCCCTGAGAGAGGCCTTTTCCCCTCCGTGCTGCTCCCTCCAGCTGGGGCTTGGGCTGGGGTGGAGCCCCGGTCCCCGGTAACTGCCGTCTCGGGGTCCTCTCCGTCTGAGTCTTTGGGCGCCTCCTCTGCGCCATCTTGAGCCCAGAGCGCAACCCCTGTTGGCTCCTTAGGTTCGCTGGGCCGGGCTACGGCAGAGGCAGTCCCCTCTTTCCGGGGAGCTCGGCAGGCAGACTCGTGGTGCGGAGTGGGGGGCCCAGGGCCCGGCGGGCCTTGGGGAGGCAGGGCTAGCAGCGGCGCCGAGCTGTGCTTGAGCACCAGCAAGGCCCCGCGCCGCTGCAGCTCCTCAGCGCTGTCCGGGGCGCGCAAGGCCGCCTCAGGCGCCAGCAGCTGCGGCCGGTGCGCGCTCTCCAACTCCTTCTGGCGAAGCAGTTCCGCCGACATCTCCAGCCTGGCTCGGGAGAGGAGACGGTGGATCAACCTGGGCACGCGCCTCCCACCTCCCTGCCCGCCTTCGGCACCTACCGAGCCAGGCTCTGCTTCCGCAGTAGCTCCTGCTGCCGGGCCAGCATCTCCGTCTGGGCGGGGGGCAGGAAGCCATAACCTGGGGGAAGAGACAGACCGGGGCCAGGGTGCCAGTGGTGCAGGCCGTCCAAACGCTCTGGGCATCAAACCTCGGCCCTCTCAGGAACAGCCTCACCGTCTCCCCCACGAGCCTGGTACACCTGCCTGCTCCTCACCTGGGGTCTGGCACAGAGCCGAGGGCACCCCCAAAAAGGGGGGCCTGAGATGGGAGCCCAGGGTGATGTGGGAGGCATTCTGGGGCGACAGCAAGGGGGGCGGCTGCGACAGCTCCCTGTGGACGGCAGGACGTGGGCGGCGCGCCGCGGGCCCAGCCCCCTCCGTACCCAGCCTTCCCGTAAGCCCTCGGCGCACCCCCCACCGGCTGCCGCTAATTGCTGGCCCGGCGGGCGGTCGATGCGCCAGCTCCTCCGGGCTCTGGGTCGCGCCGCCCCGGCCCCCCGCCAGCGGCGCCAATTAATCTCGGCGGCGGCGCGGAGGCGCTGACCCGGCGGGCGGCGGCGACTGCAGCGGTAATTACCGAGCCAGGCCGCCTCCCTCCTCTTCCCTGCCCGCACTCCCCCACCCCCTGCGGGCCCCGCGACCCGGGCGCGCGGTTTAATTAGCCGCGATCCGGTGTTCGGCGTCTGCAGCTGGCTAAACGCAGGGGCGGCCCGCGGCCCAGGCGTCCGCCCGGCTGCGGTACTCAGGCTCCCCTTACTCCCTCCCCGGAGTCCTTGGCCGACTTCCTTCGGGCAGAGTACCCCTCAGTCTTTTTCCCAACCTCCCCCGCGCCGGGAGCGGGGGCTCAGCTGTCCCAGAGGCACCTAGACTCCTCGGCTCCCCAGTTGCTCAAGGAAACCGGAGTGGCCTTTCGCGTTCCTGTCCAGGACGCTGGTCACCCGCACATTCTGCCCCCGAAACCGGGCCCCTGCCCAGCAGACTAAGCCCGAAGCTGAGCCCCGTGCGTGGGGCGCGCAGGACCCACTGCTGTGCGGCTGCGCTAAAGGGGTGAATCCCGCCACCCTAGTACCTCTCGGAGAAGGACGCGGCAGCTGTTGGCGTGGGCCCCTCGCGGTGCTGCGCCAGGCCCTGCTTCCGGCGCTGACCCGCTGCGGGTGAGGGCAGGTGGACGTCCAGGCTACTGGGGCCTCTCAAAGCTGCAGCTGCCACCTCCTGCCGGACCCGCATGAGATCTGCGGGCGGGGGTGGGGGGAGCAGTGACCCGGAGGCCGAGCTCGCCGGAGATTTTTCCCATCCCGGAAGCCTGCGAGCACCTGAGCCAGGCCCACTCCCGCCAGAGCCCTGCTCCCTCAGCCCGGAGGATAGCTGGGACCAGAGCAGGAGCAGCCACAGGGCAGGGGAGACGGATCGCCCGAGTGAAGTGCGGTGGGAGACTGCCACCTCCCTCGCAACCCCAGCTACAGGACTCCAGGTGCTGACTCCAGGGGTCCCTCGGGACAAGGCTTCTGGGCCAGCTTCCGAGGCGCTGTGTCAAGGTCCCAGGAGTGGGAATGGGTCTCGAACTGGGGTCTGCCTCGTGATCCCCTCCGAATGGGAGCCGGAAAATTTGAGATCTTGACACCCAGACACGGCTGGAAAGAACTTGTCACTCTCGGCCACGGAAGTAGACAGCACCGCCATCCAGCATTGCCACGAAAGGGCACGCGGGGCCCCGCGCTCCCCCTCGCAGGCCGCTCCACCGCCACAGCCTCTGTTTATAAATTAATTACCCGAAAAGCGGAGGTGGGCCTGCCCTGGGCCGCGCGCCAGCCCGCAGAGCGCCGAGCCTGGCCGGCAGCCCGCCCGCGTCGATCCCGATCCCCGCCCCCCCGCGGTATTTGGAGCCAGCTCCGCGGTGGGGGTGGCGCGCGCGGTGATTGACAGAGGGCTCCCGCCTCGGCCGAGACCCTCCCCCGCACAGGCCAGCATAGCCGGCCCCAGGCAGGGCACGGAAAGCAATTAAAAGGGAAGATTTTTAAATTATTAACATTTGGTGAATTATTCAGGCTCTCAGTGCCTGAGCTGCCCTGGGGGACCGTGCCTTGTGCAAGAGGAAGTCCTGCCCCCTGTCTGCCTCGGCCCCCGCCCGCCAAAAAAGCAGAGCTGGCCCCTGAGGCAGAGTACAGGGCAATCGGCCTCCCTGGGGCTGACCAGAGGGTCAAACAGGGCTACTGGGTGTCGAGGGCAGGGGCAGTGCTTCGACTGGGGCTGCTGAACAGCAGTGAGACCATCGTGGCCAAATCCTAGCTGCCCCTGTCCAGGAGGATCTGGCACAATCTCAGCGTGACTGCAGGTCAGTGTTCACTGGCTCACGCTTGTGCCTGGACTGGTGTGGGAGTGAGGAGGAACAGAAACAGGCCTCCGGGTCTCCTGAACAGGGCAGGAGACAGCTTGCTCAAGTTTCACATCCCCTTGCACCTGGGCTCAGCCACAAGTTAGGTGTGGGCCTGGTGGCCATGGCGGTGGGTGGCCCCCAGGGATGAGCAGCTAGGAACACATCCAGTCCTGCCCCCCATGGCAGTCGGATATCCAGGGTTTGTTAAAGGGGGTAACTGAAGGGCACATATGGGGGGCAGGGATCATGTAGGGGCACGCACCATGGGTGGGGAGGCCCAGAGGGTAGAGACGCTGAGGGTCCTCAAAGGTGCTGCCCTCACTGAGGGCTGACACGAGCCGCCGATAGTGGTCCTCAGGGGCCATGCTGGGCCCCAGTTCCGGCAGCAGCAGGGTATCTGGATTGAGGGAACACATGCTGAGGGTGCTTCTTAAGTTACTGCCAATGGGCAGAGGCAGGACCCCTCTTACAATCCCCTCCCCAGGACTGAGGGGTCTTCAGGAGTCAAGGACTAGACCCACTTCCTCCTCCAAGGACCTGTCCCCCACCCCAGGCAGGCTCCCACCTTGGGGGGACTTGCTTCGGGCCCGCTTTGCCGAAGAGCAGTCACTGCTGATGTGAGGAGAGCAGCCCAGCCTCCTGCCTAATGAGTCACCTGTGGAGGGGGGAGATCAGGGCTTGGAGAGGAGGAATTTAGGGAAGGCCAGATGGGGAGCAACTGACTCCTGCCCTAGCTCAGCTGGCAAACCCTACCAACCGCCACTCAGGGGACCCTTTGTCCTGGCCTTCACCTGATGGGCCAGCAGACCCAAGGATACCATGGCGAGGCTCTGCACAGAGGTAGAGGAAAACTGGGGACAGCCTCCCACGGGCACCCTGGGGGCCCAACCAACCAGTCTCATGTGCAGGTCAGGACTGTTCCCGGATCCCCTTGGAAAACAGAATCTACCTTCTCCTCCTAGGACACGGGTGTGAAGGGTGGGGTGGGGGCCGAGAAGCCCCACACACCTTTTCCTGGTCAGTGAAGCCCCTCCACTCCACTCCACTCCGGGACCTCCCTCACCCCGTTACCCGAAGTCAGGGTCCTTCCTCTCCATTGCACTCGGCCCTGGCTGTCACACACCTGCCCACCTGCCCAGCCAGGCCTGTGGTCCTGAGGGAGCCCAGAGTACCTTACTGCTGTGAACAGCCCCTGCGTGCCTGGCACCAGGCTAGGCCCAGGCTGCACCCCTGATGTCCCCTCTAGGCCCCACGGCTCACACCTCCATCGACATCCCAGCCCAAGCACCTCCTGTCAGTTCCTCCTGAGCTCCTTGACCCAAAAAGCCAGGAGTCTGCTGAACAGCCTAGGCCCTGCTGCCTCCGGCCCTCATTCTTACCGGTCCCTGGATGGGTGGGGCAGGGAGCTGACCTCTGTGTGATCCAAACATTCCACACTAAGCCTAACACCTCAGGAAATGGGGCTACCAAGCCTGTGAGCCCCAGAAGCCCTACCCTGCCATCAGGTCCAGCGCCTCATTCCTTTTTCTTATTCCCTTAATCTGTCATTTTTATCAGGCTGGGAAGTGTGGCGGTACCAAGAGCCCCAATCAATCTCCACATTACAGTTGACAGAATGGTGCTAATAACTTATCGATCTCAGCCACCTTACTGCCACTGGTCTGGATGGCCAGACCTAAACTCTGCCCCAGAGAGAGGGCCAGTTCTCATTGCCTGGACAGGGTCCCTACCCGGCTATGGACCAGTGGATGGTACCTGGCTACATCTGAGGTAGTGAGCAGAACATCAGAGACCAACAGACAGGAGGGGCTGCTGCCATGCCAGATGGAGAGGTGGGTCTTGCAGGGCTGGGCAGCTTGGTCCCACTCCATACTTGCTGCCCACTGAACACATGCACAGCACACCCTTTACATACTCTCCTTCTCCCCCCGCCCCCTCTCCTGGAATTGAACCCAGGGCCTTCACACTGAGCTATATCTTCAGCCCTTTTATTTTGGGACAGGATATTGTTAAGTCACTAAGTGGCCCAAGTTGGGCTCAGATTTGGGGTCTTCCTGCCTCAACCTCCCCAAGTGCTGGGATTACAGGCACGCACAGACACACCCAGCTCCTTAAAAGGTTTAGTAAGAGTTTGAAGTCCATCTGCTCCTCATTTCAACAATGAAAACTCCCTCTCAATCTGGGAGGCCGAGCAGGAGAATTGAAAGTTCAAGCCTAGCCCAGGCAATTTAAGAGACTTAATGAGACCCTGTTTCAAAATTAAAAGCAAAAGGGCCAAGGATTTAGCTCAGTGGTGCTGCCACCTGCCTCGAAAGCGCAAGGTCCTGAGTTTGATCCCCGGTACCAAAAAAAAAAAAAGCAAAAAAGACCTGAGGATGCAGCTCAGTGCAAAGGACCCCCCTGGGTTCAAATCCCAGTGCCACAACAACAAACCCCACTCTTCTCTTTTTTGCTGGGGCCTGGGGGGCTCTTCTTGCTCCTGAAAAGCCCAGGGGAGGTAACCCTGGGGTGGGGTCACCCCAAGATGAGACCTAGCCCTATAGCTGCCTCGATGAGGCCACATTTACTCATGGACACACATACTTAGGCACACAGAGTTGGCTCATGCATGGAGGTGGAAAAGGACAGGCATACTGGAAATGGGTGGTAGACCTCACCTCGGGGGCAGGGATATGAAGCTACAAGATTTGCTAGTCCTTCCTCCCCAGGAAGAAGCAGCTCAGTGAGGGTGTCTCCTGGACCACAGAAAGTGAGAAGCAGTAATGGGCTGAGAGGGCTCAGTCCTTAAGGAACAAAGGTGTGAGGCACACTGGACCCTTGCACACAAATAATCACACAAGGAAGACACCCGGCCATGGAGCGTGTCCTGGCCCTGGCCCTGGTTGAGGGCAAGGCCCACAGGGCTGTGTCAGAACGAGCTGGCCTGCCCATACCTGAGGACCCTCCATGCTCAGGCTGCAGGGAGGGCCTGCTGCTCAGAACATCTCAATCACTGCAGGGCTCCCTCAGCTCCACCTGATCGATGGGGCAATTAGATTTTATCAGCGGCCTGCTCAGCTGCCTCAGAGGCTCCAGAAGCAGTGACCCCCCACTCCTGCCGCCAAAGGCCTCTGAGCACATGGGGGCTCTGATGGGGTGGTGGGGGTGGGGTGGGGTGGGGTGGGGTGGAATACACCTAGCGGGAAACATCCTGGCTCTGGGCAGTGCCCCGGGCCCTAAGCTGCCCCCACCCCTAGGTCTCCCTGGCAGTCCAAGGGCTCCTGGGCCAGCACCCTCCTGCCTGCCTCGAGGAGGTCTGGGCTGCAGGAGGGCCATTCCCTCCGGGACCAGGGTGGGCATGGGCTGTGGGTTGGTGGGTGGATGAACATGCTTTTGCCCACAGGAGCTGTTCTCTGGTGGGGGCATTTCTGAGCCTCTGTGAGGCCCGTGCCTGCTCTGTGAGGAGGGGCTGGCATGACCTCCGCCACTCCAAGCCCACACCAGCAGCAGCCACAGTGGAGCCGATGCCTCTGCCGCCTGTCTGCCTGGCTGGCTGGGATTAACACAATTACCATCACAGGGAGGCCCGGGGGGACAGCTCGCCTCACACCTCCTGCCTTCTCTGCTGGCCTCCCTGGCTGCCCGCCAAGGTGCCCAGAGCTGCTGAGCAGAGACATGTGGAGGGCTGCTGTCCTTGGGCTGAGCCAGTGTGGCCCTGGCGGCCCTGTCCTCTCCCTCAGGACTCCAGTGCTCCTCACCTGTGGGTCCCAGGCCAATCTCCACGCTGCCTCTCTGGAATTCACAGCGACTCTGATGCTCGGGCATAACGAGGTGGTGGTTTCGATGTACACTGGATATGAGAGTAGGAAGGCTGCTGTCCTGGCTGCAGCAGAGCAAGACAGAAGGACAGGCCCATGAGCACCCACACAAGTGTGAGCCTGCTGAGTGTGAGCGTGGGGACAGTGAGTGCTGAGGGAGTGAGCCATGTGCACACCTCTGCATGGGGCTGACACCCACAGGGCAGACCCCAGGGAAGCAGGGACCTGGCCCTGGAACCCTCCACAGCTCCCAGCTGGTCTGTGCCAAGTTGGGGTGGCTCCCCCTGCCATCCTGTCTGCAGAGGGCATCGTGTTGCTCCTGATTCCTGCCTTGGGGGGCAGCCCTGTGTTCACCTCCTGATGGACAAGGCCAGAGAAGTCATGCTGTCATACATGTGTTGCCAGCTCTTGCAGCAACAAGGCATGTGCCCTTTTGATTAAAATGTGCAACCACCCCCCAGCCAAAATTTCATCCAGTAAGAACACTGAGGTTTGGGCCAGAGTGCTGCAACTGACAAGATGCATGCCAAGTGCACACAGCGCCAGCAGTCACAGGCAAGCTCTGCAAGCAGGCTGTTCAGGACACCCTGCTGTCCCCAGACTTACGTTTAATTCTCTCTAGAGAAAAGGAGGGCACCTCTTGGGATTCTGTGAGCAACCCCACCATCAGCACAGCATGGGAGCAAGACAGGAAGCCAAAGCCAGGACAGAGGGGTAGGGGTGCCTAGTGCCTCCAGTACATGCCCTGTACATGCCCTCCCAACCCACCTGTAACAAAGCAGCCACCTCCTCGGCACTGATGCTGGCGGAGACTCTGCTCGGTGACCAGGAGCCAACCCTGAACCTCATTAAATAGTCCCTAGCCCTCATCCCTAGCTGGCTGGAGCTGAGCTAATCCAGGGCTACCCCTAAGCAGATCTGTTTCAGCACCAGACCCCGGAGAGCGGTCCCAGAGCCCCAGGAGGTCCAGACAGAATTTGCTCCCTGCCCCCATGAAAGCAGGGCAGGTGGGGAGTAAGTGGTTTATAGGATTAATCAGCACAAGGCTCATCCCCATCATCCTCACTGATGTAGGGTGGGGACAGAACTGCTATCCTCAGCACTGGGAGAGGCCCAGGGCCAGCCTGGCACAGAGCCACAGCTGCCACAGGGCTGCTCCCTACAGCGACACCCTCCTGGATCCCAGCCTGGTCTGGCAGGCTGTGAGGCGCTCCTTCCTAACCTGCATCGGGACCAGCTGCCACGAGAGCTATCAGCTCCTTCATGCTCTCAAGGTTCATTGAGGCCCGAGGAGGGGAGAACCAGGACCTGCACCTGCCATCCACCCTCCCACTTTCTGCTTTGGGAGTTCACTTCTCAGGTCCCCAAATGGCCCAGTCCTAAAAACCTGTTCTGGTCACTCAGTTAACAAATTACGTTCTTTTGTGTGAAGAACTGTAGAGAAGTGTCATACGCTCCAGACTGAAGATGACGAATGCTGCGGGTGGCATCACAGCATGGGGTCTCCAGCACAGCCCGCAGGAGGCTGCCGGGGCACCAGGGAGAAGAACCCTGCCTCCCCTCCAAGGCCTCCCCACCTCAGCTACCTCATGACACTATGCAGTCCAGCCCTTCCCCATCGCTCTGGCAGCTCGGGGGCCCTAGGAGCCTAGAGGCCATGTTCCCAGCCTGCAGACCATGCTGGGGGAAAGCTTACAAGGAATAGGGGGAACCTCTGGGTCTCTGTTCCTCACGTAGGCAGCCCTACTGTCAACGGTAGGGCTGATCAAAGGGACAGAGATGGACGGACAGATGGATGGATGGATGGGTGTATGGATGGAAGAGGGCAGGCAGTTGAGTGGAGAGTAATAGAGATGGACGGATGGATAGAGACTGGAGACAGAAGGACAGATGGATGGGCTCACAGACAGAACTGGGCAGGGGCAGCATAAGGCGGTTGGGCCTAAATCATGCACAGCTCTCTGTCCAGGTACTGGGGGCTGTGTTGCAGGTGGGGGCAGAGTGGTGGTCAGTCCTTCAGGCATGCTGTGCCCTCTTCCCTGCAACTGCAGCTCCCTGGTGTTAAATCTAGAAAATCACACCAACCCTTTCTGGGGCTTCTGCAGGCCAGGGGGCCACATGGACACAGGCTGGGCTCTTTCAAGCAGCACCCAGGCTGCAGTGGTCCATGTTGTCCCTGGACTCTGCACAGACACTCGGCCCCCTCCTGACACCCCAAGGCCAGTGGGTGTGAGGCAGGCTGCAGGCAGGAGAGGCAGTTAATATTAGGGGTACAGTCACTGGGGTCCCTATAGGTCTCACTGACAAGTTCATCCGGTAGAGTCCCAGTAAAAAGCTCATAAAATGTCATCAGTGTTCATGAGGATTCATAAAAGTGATCAGTCGAGCTGGCACTCCAAAATGAGGTGGAAATAAGTTTAAAGATGTTTTTATGTAATTTGGCTTCAGAATGCAGACATTCTCAAAGACAAATGATAACACATCTGGCATAGAGCCAGGATGAGCCCCCTCCTGGCTGTGTGGCTGGGCCTCGGGGAGACCAGCTGCTGACAGCTCTGGACAGGATGGCCACCCTGGCCACTGGACACCCACTACTTCCCTGCTCCACCCCTTCTGCTGTGCTTCCCTGGAAGCCATGGAGTAGCCAAGTCTTAACTTGACTCCACTAGCCAGAAACCACAGACTGACCAGTTCTGGCCCTCAGGAGCCAGAAACCTGTGTCAACTCTAATGCCCCCGCTTTCTCATCATGGCCTGTCCTTTCTGCTTCCTTGCTACACCTTGGATTTACACCCCAACTGCCTTCACAGGATAAGTCTGTGTGGTCCCAGGCAAGCCCCCAGCCTGTCCAAGGGGCCTCCTGCCAGAAAGATCTTCATGAAACACACACCTGTCATTCCCCTCCCTGCTCAAGAACTTTCCATAACTCCCCCTGCCTAGAAGACAAAGCCCAACTGGCCCAGCATCCAAGGCCCAGACCTTCAGCATCTAATGGAACCAACCCTGCTGAGTTTACCTCCTCCTTTTCTCATCATGCCTTCCCTCATTTCTCCACAACTTTGCAGATCCCTCTTCCCTAGCAATCTCCTACACATCCTTCAAGACTCACTCAGATACCACCTGAGGCTCTGAGAGGGTAAGGTCACAGCATTGTCCTCAAGCAGTTGGCCTCAAATGGACAGTCCCGGAGGGGGTGTGGCTTGGCTCCAGGGCTGGGGTGCTCAGAACCCTTGTGAGGTTGGGCACAAGCCTATACTGGCTGAACTGTGTCCCCTGATCTCATCCAGACAACAGGCCACCTGCATCTTAGGCAGAGTAAGAAGCAGACACATCAAACCTGGCACTCTGGCCAGGACCGTGGACAAGAGACCACAGGCAGAGGGGGGCAGAGGAGCAGGGATCCTTCATTTCAGAAGCAGAAGCAGAAGGCGCAGAGCAACAGAAGCTAGCGGGAGACCCCTACCTGCAGGATGTCTCTCGGAAGGAGATGTTCACGTCCCAGTGGGTGTGGACTCTGCAGGGAGAGAAGCCAAGGGTCAATGCAGCTCCAGCACCAGCTCCGCACAGCAGAGCATGCGAGAAGCCAGAGGCAGTGAGCCAGGGGCAGCTTCCCATGCCTGGCTCCACCTGCCAGCAGCACCCCTGGACAGACCCAGAGGCCGGAGCCGAGCGGGAAAGAACTGCACTGACTCTGCCCTGAGCCATGCTGGGGGCTGAGGGTTCCTCAGACTCAACTTATTCCACTGAAATCCAATTCCCAGTTGGTAGGAGAGGGCCCCAGGATGGGACATCAGCGAGGTAACAGCTCCTGCCGGTGTCCCACCCTCTGCAGCTGCATCCCCGGAAGATCCTTAGTCTCGATGTCCCTGTTCCCACAGGACCTCCCCACCTCCTGGGCCTGGCCACAGAACAAGCACCTTCTCTTCATGATACGGACGTGTGGGGCATCCTCCTGCTTCAAGCCGGGCCGCCGCCCACAGGCCGGGCCACCCCCGTCACTGTCTCCGTCACTGGCAGAGAAGCTGGGAGTCCTCTCCTTCTTCAGGGCACGTGTCTGGGGCAGGGCGACTGTCCTCCTGTCTGCCAGCCGCCCCCGGTTCTGGGCAAGTGGGAGGAGGAAGGTGAGGCCAGCCTAGGCCTCCGGCTCCTGGGCCCGTGGGTGCAGAGCCATCCCGAGTGTGCAGGGCCCACACGGCGATGGTCCTAGGATGGGCTGTCACTCCCAGCAGCTCTGTGCCCAGATCTCCGGCCTGCTGCGGTCTGTGTCAAGCCCAGAGCAGGGCTCTTGGACTAGTGCTGGTGGATATGCAGCCAGCAGGCCGTGACCTGTGTGTGTCTGCCTGAAATCCCATCATACCCTATGTCGATCCCTCAAACTGGCTGTCACCAACATCAACAAACAAAGTTCTTTTTTCTTTTGTGTTTTTGCAGTGCTGGGGAAGAGGGGGCCGTTGCTCTGTGTCCTTTGGTTCTGCTTCTGGAACTCGGGCCCCCTGTACCTCTGCCCTCCTATAAGAGATCTACCCTTCAGCCACAACCCAGCACCCCTTTTCCATGTTGTGAGCGCCAGGCAGAGCCAGCTTGGGGCTGTCTGAAGAATGAGGCCTAGGGCAGAGCTTTCTGCAAGGTGAGTTTCTTTCTCTTCTGTACCCATCCATGGAGCAGGTGTGTGGAGCCACGTGTGCCTCAAGTGAGAGGCTCTGCATACACGCAGCACAGGTGTGGGCAGAGCTCACACGCATGTGCCAGAGCAGCATGAGTGTGTGCAGCCCATCTCAGCTTTCTCAGATCTCCCTGAGCCTGTAGGTCCTACTGCCCAGGGAGAAAAAGAAGTCACTGATTATTTCCAGTGTGTAGAAGGTTTTTGTTTATTTGCAAACAGGCTGCTGGCTCCAAGGAGGCACAGGCTTTGAGAGTATCTCATTCCCTCTTCTCTGTTCTGTCTTGGGGGCCTTCCTGAAGCCCCCATTACCATAAGGAAGGGTCCTCAGCACACCCATGAACTTGGGGAAGGGCTCAAGGGGGCCCTGCTCACTCCCCATCTTCCAGGACCCAAAGGTGGTCTGTGTGCCATGCCTGTCCGCCCAGGCAAAGGGCTTCTCTGTAGACACAGATACCCCGGAGGCTCAGTGCCACCCGGCTCAGTGTGGACAGGGCCCTCTTCTGGCTCTGGAAGCCACAGTCTCCCCCACACTGGTCCTCATACATCTGCTGTCCCCATGCCATTTTCCTCTGCAACACAGTAGTGTGTACTGGGGCAGGGTGGCAGGATGAGAGGGTCTACTTGGTGGCCCCTTCTGCATTTTTTTTTGGTACCAGGGATCCAACTCAGGACCTTGTGCTTGTGAGGCAGGCAGTGGAACCACTGAATTAAATCCCCAGCCCCTCTGGTGGCCCCTTCTGAGACCTGCCAGACAGCAGAGCCTGCAGGAGGCTGTAGGCAGGAGCTCTTGTTTATCCCCTAGGCCTCTGTCAGCTCACAGGCTCCAGACCATTTTCAACAGCCCTTGCCTGTCTAGGGTGTCCTCTTCCCTTTCCTAGACTGCTGGAGCCCAAGTGTGGGGACCTTGGGAGGCTCTGCAGTCCCCCAACATCCTGCCTTTCTGCTTTCAGTAAAATATTCTCTTCAGAAAAAAAGAAAATACATTTCCCTTTGCCTCTCATCTGTGGGATGGGGCGGGGGGGGCGGGTTGAAGGTTTGGAAGGAGGCCAGAAGCAGCTGGCTGGAAATAAACCCAGGCTGTATGGCACCCCTCAGCCCCATGATGTACAGACCTGGGCACAGGAAGCCTCTAGCCCCAGCCCCTGCCACACCTTGAGGGCACCTGGAATGGATAGGTCTGGGATTGCTCCTCAAGGAAGCCCCTGGGGGAGGGGCACTGAGGACTCAAGTGGTCTCCCTGACCTTGCCATGGGACAGGTAACACATGCTTCTCCTCACTCACTGGAGATCTCAGCCAGTTCCCTTTGTTCAACTGATTTGAGAACTTGGCCCCTAGCTAAGACCCAGCGCCTCCTGAAACAGTGAGAGTGGGTGCCTAGCATGCATGGGTCCTAAGCCTCATGCATATTAAAGTTCTGTCCCTGGAGTATCTGTGAGCATGAAGTATGCACACACCCATGGACCTCACCAAGGGCTTAGGGGAGCCAGCCTCAGTGTGAGAAATGTGGGTGGAAAGAAGGGGGCCCATGGAGCTCCTCAGGCCCAGGTTAGGTTGTCTGTCACACAGCGCAGTGATCGGGAGCCCAGATGGATGGGCAGCCCCATCCCTTTCTGACTGCAGATTTACCATTTAAGGTGAGGGGGTTACTGATGCTGTGCTCAGGCCCCCTGCTTCCCCACTCTTGTGCAGGCTGATAGCAGTAGAAACCCCCTTCCCCCAAACAGAAAACAAAACTCTGGGGAGATGAGCCTGGAGGGTGGGTACCCAGAGGACCCCTCTCCAGCACCAGCTGTTTGTAGGGTACAGCAATGAAGAGAGACTGGCCTCTTGCCCCGGCAGGCAGGAGGTGGCTGTCTGAACACACCTGTGGGAAGCTCTTGTGCAAGTGCACACCCGTGTGTACTGAGCACGAGTGCGAACTCACGTGGAAGCTGTTGGTCCATGTCAGACTGTGTGGGGTGAGTACATGACTCCCCTTCCCTTGCCCAACATGCACGCATCTGAGGCTTCCCAGCCTGTCCATGTTATGGCCCTGGGGGTCCAAGAGGAATCCAGGCCCTCCACACCCAGTCCAAAGGAAAAAAGCCCAGGTGGCAACCTAGGTTCTCTCAAAGCTCTCGGTGCTCTGCCTCTCCTGTGGGGGGTGCTGCTGGGCCCCCACCTCAGAACCATGGCCTTTTCCACCAGGGGCTTTACTTTGGTCCCTCTTCAGAGCCAGTTTCCCTTTTAGATCAATCACAGCCTGAGCATGCATGCTTCTGCAGACCAATCTCTCCTGCTCTAAAGGCCAGTAAGGACTTCAACAGACTGTCCATCCTGGGTGGAGGGGTTGCACCAAAGAATTGTCAACTCCAGCTCTCTGGTCAGCCTCGCTCCAAAGACCCTGCCCTGACTGGGCTCTGTAGCACCAGGACATTTGGAAATCCAGGCTTTGCAGAGTAAGACTCCAGCCCTCCACACCCAGAGCCTCAGCCCAGCGGATCCAGGCCAGCCAGCAGCACTGTCACATCCCACAGTGAGCCAGCCTCTAAGCAGCTGGGCCATATGACTTGGTGACCACCAGACCAGGGCCCATGATGAATGGCATTACCGGGGGGGGGGGGACCCTGGGTGTCTGTTCCCAGAACTTGAGGAGGTGCCAAGCCACGAAGAGGGAGAGGGGCTGCTGCAGAACTGCAAGACTCCTGAGTCCAGGCTTGGAGGGGCCCCTGTGCCTCCGGGTTCCCACTTCTTCTCAGGTACAGGCTGGAGAGCAGAGCAACCCCCCCCCCCCCGCGCACTGCCTTCCCTGGGGAGGCTCCCTCTTGCACACCCAGGGTGAGGTTGGAACCCCCAGTCCTAGAAAACACCGGCACCAGCCAGCCCTGCAGGGGAAGACCACACTTCTCTGATCCCCACCCTAACTCCCAGTCTCACCACCGGCGAGGATATTCGACAGCCCGGACAATCGCAGATCGGAGGGTGCACCTGCAGGATCCCCTTGGACATAAGCGTCTTCAGACTTTTTCCTGCCCGGAGAGCCGAGAGAGTAAGTGAGGAGTGGCCCGGGCGCAGGTGGAGCGGCCCGGGAAGGCGGCGGTGGGGGCTCTCCGGCAGGTGCACAGAATCACACCGATCTCCCACACCCTCCGCCCTCCAGCGTCCGAGGCTGCCGCCCGCCCTACCCCCCCGGACGCGGCGGTGATCTGCTGGGCCCGAAACTCGTCCTGGCTAGCGCCCTCCCCTCCCCGGAGGAAGGACGGCCTCCTACCCGCCCCCGGCGCCCTCCGCTCCGCTCCGCCCTCTCCGGCCGTTCCCGCGGGAGGCCGCGGGCAGGCCGAGGAAGGCAAGCCCGGGAGAGGTGAGCGGCGCGGCGGAGCCGGGCCTGCGACTGCTCCTACAGCAGAAAGGGGGTGATCAGCGCGGAGTGTGAACCGAAGCTACCGCGTCCCCAACTTTTAAACTCCCCCGCCACGCTGGGCGCTCGCCATTCTGCTAGGTATCCCGGGCTCAGGACGCCTCACCTTCGGGGCTGCGCTCCTGACCGAATGCGTGAGTCCGGCCGCCTGGGCTCGGATTCCGCGCGCCCCCGCCCGCCTTTCCTTCTTCCGCGCGCACCCGAAGAGCACCTTCCACTCCCGCCGGAACGCACGGCTCGGCGCCCGGGGAGGGGTGGCCCCGGAGTTCCCATAAACTTCCTCTGGCCCTGTAGGCTCAGGATCCTCACCGCCCGCCTGTGGGTAACCCGGGGTCCTGGGGCGCCTGGCCCGGGCTGGGGAAGGAGGAGGCCGAGGGCGCTCGGCTTGGCGACCCAGGCGACCGGCCGTGCGGGCATCGGGGGTGTGCGGGAGGGTGTCCCTGAGTCGGCCCTGGAGCTGCAGCGCCCCCTCCAGGCCGAGACCCGGCCTCCCAGGTGGCAGAGCGAAGGGCGCCGCAGCCAGCGGAGGAGACTGACGGCAGCCCCCCCCCCCCCCCCGTGCCCCAGCACCTTTGTGGCGAATGCTGCGCTTCCAGTCCTTGGCCGTCTCGCGGCCGCTGACGAACTGGAACTCGTTGGGCGTGAGCCACTCCCCGCGGTGGCGGATGGATGGGCCCTTGCTGCCCTGGCAGAGTTTGCGCACGTAGAGCAGTGCGTGGTTGGCGCCACACTCCACCTCGATGCAGGGCTCGCCGTTGTCCAGCAGCGGCTGGAAGTCTGGCGCTGAGGCCGCAGAGGCCGAGAAGCGCTCCAGGGCCAGCGGGTCTCGGGGCGGCGGAGGGAAGGCGCGCGGGGGCCGAAGCGGCGGGGCCAGCAGCGTCTCGTAGCCCGAGGCCGGGGCGGGTAGCGAGGCCGCTGGGGGCAGGGCGGCCGCGGCGGGCAGGGGAGCCAGGTAGCCCGGCAGCGGCGGCAGGGGCAGGGCCGCCAGGGCCGGGTGGAAGGCGGCCAGGGCGAGGGCCAGGTCCTCCCGGCCCGCAAGCTCCTTCTTGACCGCCGGCATGGCTCGCCGGCGCCCCTCAGTCGGCTCTCTGCGGGCGGCGCAACTTACTCCGGCCGCTCTGGAGTTGGGTCTCGGGGCCCAGGGCGCGCCCCGCCACTACTGGGTCCCCGCGCCTGCCGCCGCCACGCCGCCAGCCGGGCTGCCTCCGACAGCGGCCTGGACGGCCGGCGGGGCCTCGGAGGCGGGAGACATGCTGCTGCCGTCGCTGCCTCCGGCCCTGGCCCTGGGGCTCCCTCAGGTCGCCGGAGTCACTTGCGCCCACGCACCGGGGCGGTCCCGCGGCGCGCTCGCCAGCCGGCCAGCCGTGAGGAACCTCGGTGCAGCCAGCCCCGCTCCCCGCGCGGCCCGGGGGTCCCAAGCCCTCCCCCCCCCTCCGCCCCGCCCCGCCCCACTGCCGGGCCGCGCACTCGCGTCCACTGGCGCGCGCCTGCCCGGCGGGGACTTGGGAGAGTCCTGCTGCTGCCACCACCGCCGGGCTGCCGCCACAACTTGGCCCATTTAAACCGCCCCGGCGCGGCGGGCGGCGCGGGTTCCAGCGGGGGGTGCGTGACGGCCGACTGGGCGGGGGGGGGGCGGGACTGGGCTGCCCCCCCCCCCCCCCCGCCGCCGCCAAGTGGAGTGCAAAGCAGAAAGCCGCTTGGGAGGGGTGGATGAGAGCAAGGCGTGGCATGAGTGGGTGTCACCGGACAGAAGCTTGTGGCCAGGACCCCACGCGAGGCAGGGCGGAGTCCAGCCTGGTGGTAAGTGGGTTTCCCTTGGAGGCGCACTGGGGTACCCTCATCCTGAGAGTATGTGAGCCTGGAGCCTTGGTTAGGGGTGTTTGCAAGGTGTGGAGTTGTGCATTTGTGGAGGGTTTAAGGACAGTAATTCCCTGTTCTTGCTCCCTGACTGTCTGCTTCCTAAGTAGTGTACTTACTATGAGGTTTTTTCATTATCCCGATTTTACAGGTGAGGGACCAGTGACCAAGATGTCAGGCAAGTTCTTGATGACACAGCTATTGTACTCCTGGATGTCTGCCTCCAGCACAGTGTCAGAGCCATGATGTGGGGCAAAAAGGGGCAGTTAACCCCAGTAAGGGTCAGGGTTGTGGGACAGGGTCAGCTGATGAGGTGAGCACCAGCATATTTCAGCCAGTCTAGGGGAGGGGGACCTGCCCCATGCTCCCCCTTGCTGCTGTACCCAGGGGGCTGGGTACCTGGGCAGCTCGTCTACTGGTCAGCCTCCTGTACCCTCTGGCTCCCTGTAGGCCTGGTTCTGTATGGAGCTGGAGCATCAGGAAGAGGTACAGCACTGAGAAACCCCTGGCTTTGGAACAGCTGCTGAGACAGGCTTTTTTCCCTGGTGTGTTGTGTTAGATACACTAGAAACTAGCCTCATATCCCAGCCCAGCAGCTCAAGCCTGTCCCCTTGAGGTGCCTCTGGCAGGCATCCCTGTGGGCACCCCCTTGACCCGTCCCTGGGAGGTTGAGCAAGGTCACAGAAAGCACCTTCTTTGAGGGAGGGGACAGCCTATCACCACCTCCCCAGCAGACACCAGCCCTAGTTGGGCATAGAGCTGATCTCTGATGTCCACTCTGCTTTTCCTCACCCACTCTTCAGCAGCCAGGGTGCCAGCCAGTCTCACGCTGACCTGGGAGGTAGTCTGGGCAGGATGTGCAGGACTGTGGCTGGGAGTTGATGTCTGAACCCCTTTACCTCTTCAGTGGGGGCCCAGTACCTCAGCTGCTGGGGCCCAAGGGTCCCAGTGGGAAAGTGGGTGACCCCCTCCTTCACCAGTCCTGGCCCTACCACCTGTCCTGCAGCCTGACACCAGCACATCCCTGACCCAGCTGTGACACCCAGCCATCCTCCCCCTACCGTTGTGTCTTGCTCTGAGATTTGATTTTTCCATGGTTAAGGGATGCAGAATTCTGCTGGTGAGCCAGGGCCTCGGAGAGGCTACTGTACTAATAGGTGGCTGTGGCATACATGCAGAGACTATCAGGGCTAGGCGGAGGCCAAGTGTCGCCACATGTGCCACAGCCCTGACCAGGCTGCCAAAGACAGCTCCCACCCAGGCTTCTCATGTTCACCCGTCCTGTTCTCAGGCCTCCTAGCCTCACTGTGTAGCTCTAGAAGCACAGGCTCAGATCTGAGAACCCCTACCCCACCCTCCATGGCTCCTCTGGCTCCTCTGGCTTGCTTGGGAGACAGAAGGCCATTGCTGGGTTTCTGTCTGATCTGGGGGGCCCACCCAGCCCACCCTCTGTGCCACAGTCTCCCTACCCCATCTGGAGAATACCCCCTCTTCAAAGGGGTCACTGCAGCCCCTTCCCCCTCCTCTTGGGAGTAGACTCTTGTCTGGGACCAGGCTTTATGACCAGCAGGTTATAGTCAGAACACCTGCCCTGCTTGGCACCCGGATCCCACCTTCCTCTGCACTTTTCAGACTGGAGCAGAGACCAGAGAGAGAGCTATGCGAGTAGAGTTGTCCCAGCCTTGCATGCGCCCACGGAAAGCACAGGGTGCAAACACCACATCACTTCCCGAAGGCCCGTCTCGAAGGTGCCTCGCCGTCGCTGCTCTGGGTCCCCCTGCTCAGGGCCCTCCACTGCTGGGCTGAGGCGGCCACTGCCACTGGGAGGGGGAGGAGGGTGGGTCATAAATAACCTGAGGGCAGCAGCGGTGCAGACAGTGACCTGAGACTCCTGGGGGAGCTTGAGGGCAGCTGCAGGCCCCTTTCCCCCCAGTCTGACTGCTCCAGCCTTGACCCACCACCCTAGACTGCTTGCCTCTTCAGGCCCCTCTTATCCACCCCTTCATCAATCAGTCAACCATTTATTGAGCTCCAGATGTAGTATAAACCCAGAAGAGAGAGCCCTGAGGTGGGAAGACAGAGACGCAGAGGAAAGCAGTGTTTGTAGAGCACAGGTGTGGTGTCAGAGGAGGTGCAGGTGAGCAGAGTCCTGGCCTGCTCCTTCCCTGTCCGCCTGAGCTCACAGGTTTGGCAATGAGGGGCTGCATATATGGGGAACAAACCCAGGCCCACCCACACCAGGAGACAGGCAGTGTGTAGGGACAGAGCATATGGGTCACAGGTGTGGGCCCAGAAGACCCTGAGCCCTGAGAAAGCACACCTGTGTATCCATGTGCCAGCCACCAGTGAATGCCTACATATTCAACACATATAGATAGCAGCCACAGGCATATCACATTCATGCACCCCTGCGTGCAGGCAGGCACTGTGCCTCCTGAATTTGCATATGCAGGACAGGTGCAGGGTACACAGACATTACCTTTGAACTCCCACACAGCTTGGGCACCAACACAAGCACAGACAGGGTATATGCTAACTTACACAAGTAGACAAACCTCACAAACCCTGAGACCTGGACATGCAACACACTTAAAAGACCTTCAGACACCAGTACCAGATGGACCCAGGTTCAAAATGTTCATCTGCCAAAATAGCATGTTGGGCACAGTGTCTAGTTGGCAGCACTGTTGGACCAGGAAGGATAAAGCTAAAAGGTCAGGGGTTAGTGATAAGCCAGCTGGGACCCCTCAGACATTCCTGCAGAGTGGCCGGAACCTCCAGGAATGTTGTCCGGGCCCTGGTCAAACACAGGGAGCTGCCCTGCTGGGACATGCTGAGCCTTTGGCTGGCTCTGAGCTGGCTATAGGCCATGTACCATCTCTCAGGAGACAGGAAGGTGTTTCTGAGGCCAGGTTGTCCACTGACTTTAACCTCTGCCACTTGAGGGGAAGAAGGAGGGCCCGAGCTCAGCCTTACCCCGCTCCCAGGTTTGCGTTCATAGTCTTCCAGATGCGCACACACAGGGATTTCAGTAGACACCCCAGGAACACTTGCCTCTGGGCTGTTGCTAGCTGTACAGTGTCATGTTCAAGCGTGCCAACACATGAAGTGACCCCAACACCAGTGCAGTGATGCTCATGTGCTGAACACACCTACGGGTACCTTGCTGCAGCACTGAGGCCGCTCCCAGGTACAGAAGCTGCTGACCTGGCAGCACTGGCAGGAGCCCCCAGTCTCGGGTCTGCCCCTCCCCTCAAGAAGGGGCACAGACACTGTTCCTGGTCATGGTGGGGGGACAGGCACCCCCTGCCTTAGAGCAGCCTTCCAGGTACTGCAGTCCACCTGGACCTGGGCTATGGTGGAGGCTGAATCAAGTGGTGCCAAGGTGAATCTTGTAGTGACCTAAGGCTCAGATCCTCCTGGCCACACCCCATGAACCAGCCTTCTCTGTTTTTCTCAGGACCATGTTTCCCATCTGGCAGAAGATACTCAAAATCCATGGCTCCCCTTTGGCCTGGAGCAGAGCAGTCAGGGAAAAGGTGCCCAGCTTACACAGGGCAGGTGACTGCCAGGGGCCTGCACACCCTGGCCAGCTACTCCATGAAATTAACCTGGAGTGTAGGAGCTGAAGGGCCCCCAACTCCCTTGAGGCCAAGCGAAGGGAATGAGGAGAGTTTTCCAGGGCCCCTGGGAGCTTGAGAATCTGCACAGGGAATAGGCACGAAGGCTAGTTCCACCCTTCCTCCTTGCCCCATGAATAGAAATGGCTGCAGCCTGGGTAGTGGAGGGATAGCCCAAGGGAGCAGCTGCTGGGTTGGTGTGGGGCCGCAGCCCAGTGCAGCCACTTCTCTTGGCTCAAGCTAGCATAGATGGGTCACAGGCGTGGGCCTCTCCTTCAGGTGAGCTGAGCAGTATGGAGGCCTTGGGCCTAGGCTCACCTGCTCCTGTCCCAAGAGTGTGCAAGGGCCAAGAGATGGCTGAGAGACCCTGTGTGCTCACAACTATTGGTCCTGGATGTGAGGGACACCTGCCTGCTCACATGTGTCTGTACCTCCTTCCTGCCATGCACTTCAGCTCATGCTCAGCACAGATCCCATGGGAGGGCCTTGGGGGTTCATGTTCCTCATTCTGGGGTGTCTAGGTATTGGTTGGCCACAGCTGACTCTGCATGTTTACCTGGCCTGGCCTGGGAAGACCTCCAGCCCTTGGGCCACATAAAGGCAGCAGGTTGTGCTGTCTTCAGAGCTTTAGGACAGAGGTCAGTTGCCAAGGAGGAGTAGGAGTGGGCATGAAGGAGGAGTGGGCTCTGCCAGTCTGCCAGGTAGAACCAAGAAGAGGGCATCCTGCCAGTTGTGGTGTGCGTAACTGTAATCCCCACCACTCAAGAGCCTAAGGTAGGAGGATCACAAGTGTGAGGCCAGTCTGGACGACTTAGTAAGACTTTTGTTTCTCGGTACCAGGGATTGAACTCAGGACCTTGTGCTTGCCAGGTAGGCATGGTACCACT